GAGGCATAAACTTTGTAAAAACATGAAATATATTATTTCTTTGCAGAATGAGCATGACACTGCTGAGACAGGTGACCTGAAACTGCTGAAATGAGTGACTTGAGAGCTGAGATGAGTTCCAGCCAGAGTGTTGCATAAGTCACAACCAGTGATGTTGCATGAGTAGCAGCAGCTGTTGCTGCGGGAGCAGCACTGCTTCGCCGCCTCAGTTGTATAGCATCGCGACATCTTTCCTTCTAGTGGAGTGATATGTGCGTGCTCTTAAGCGGCGCAACCATTATAATGCTAAAATGGCATTTTGTTATCAGCAAGGGATGTACCATCAAAACCCATAAATCAGATTATTTTACAAAAGCTTGAACTCAACATTGTATTCAACTGTCAGATAAAGGTCTTAAAAAATCTACTTCTAATTCATTTTTCAGTTTAAACATAAGATTAGAGTTCAATTGTAACCGTTTGAAATTTCATGTCACAAATATTTTATTATAGTATTCATTAATAATGTCTTGTAGGTGTTGCATCATACTATAAATGAATCTACTAAAAATGTAAAATAAACTATTTATAACTGCTTGCTCTAGGTTGCTTCAAGTCGCTGACACTGTGGCTGCCTTGTTGTCCCGGTAGTATTGGGACTCCTGCAAACGGCGCAATCTTTCTCCAGTTCTGACGGTTGCTCCGCAGGTTCAGATTTAAGTCACTGCTTTAGTTTCGTTTTGATTTGCTGTACGGTATCTCCTGTGTTCTGTACCATGTTCTGTAGTGTGATCAATTCCCATTCCATTTTTTTCTTCAATTTACTCACCATTTGTTCTGAATTGCTATTGTTGTGGCTCAAATACTACGTTACCGGATTTTTTTCTAGTCCGTTGCCATATTACCGCTGCGTTACAGCTAATTAAGCTAAGAAATTCCAAAGCAAACTACGCAGCTGCAGCTAATCTTCGCCTTGCAATTTCTCGTTCTTTCCCTTTGTTTATCTTTTGCAACCTTGCGTCCATTATCGTTTGTAATGTCGTTTCCCAATGTCCAATTCCCCACATTGCAGTTGATTTTTCATCAGCTTGTGGTTTCTGAGTGTTTCTTTGCACACATTTTGTGATAAATTTCATGTCTTGTTGCTTAAACTTGTTCAAAATTACGACGCACTTGTAAGCCCATAACCATTAAAATTAATGATCACTGTTTTCAATCAATATAATTAGAATTTACTTGTCGTTTTCTGAGCTTTCAAATTATCGATGATATTGAGTAATAGCAGTATTGAAATTCGTTTTATTATAGAAATAATTAGGTACCACGCTACCTAGGGCAGTTGATATTCGTTACTTGTGTAAACCAAATTTTGTATCCGCTACTCGCAACCTTTTGTTGATGGTTTCTTCTTGGATGCCAAGCACGAATCGATATCTTTTTTTTTTGTGACGCTCGAATAAACGCATGGAAGTGTGACTGAGTTTTATTTCGCCCTGTGATATCGTCCTTCATTCTCCGCTTGAAACCCTAAGACCTAGTGTAGTGTCCCTCGAAGTTATTTTATTTTGAATGGCTGATTTTCTAAAAACACTTTACCCTTTCTACTGTTTCGTTAATTGGTGTTCTTGATGAGTTTATTTACTGCCGGATTCATATTCCTGATCGGAAAGATTGCAGTATTCAAGCATCATTGGCACGTCACCACGGATGCTTAAATGCCAGGTGTCGTAATGCCACCAAAAAGAATAGAATTTTCTTATTGTTTAAAATAAAAATATGTAGTGATCAAAGTATCGCGGACACGCGCCCGCATTACAGCGTCCGATGCATTTCCTGCGCCAGGCTTCAATCACTCAAATTTGTACTTGCGAAACAAACATAGCGTATTATTTTTTGTATTACATAATACATAAATAATATTTATGGATAGTAATATTCACAACTGTATGATTTAAGTTAAAGCTTCGCCATGATTGAGTGAAAATCTAGTAAAACGTATGTGCAATATTTTCATGGGTTAGTCGTAATGTATTAGCACACGAAAAATTGCTGGTATTTTACATATCAATATTCGGAGGCTAGCGCAGGGAGTGCCGCGGTGCCTGGATGAGCATCGTAAAGAAGCAGACGCAGAGAACGCGCTGTGCATAGCGATGGCGATACAGCTCCTCTGGTTGTTTTGCTAAAATTGTTATAGTTTTAATTGAAGGTATTCACTTCAGTAATCTATTATTGGTACTATTATATTGGTCCGCACTAACTGAAGCAAAGTTACCTTTAGTTTCCTAAGTGTCGTAACTGTTGACTTAGGCAGATAGTTGAAAATTATTTACATCAACTTCATCACTGTGATGTTATGTGCTATCCTCACTGTGATAATGTGTATTTTTCTCACTGTGATGCTAGATTTGTTTCATTGCCAGCAACCGTCGGTGTTTTGCATTGATGCACTGTAGCTTCTGCACAGGTTCAATGTCATCATTCTGCTCGAAAATGTATCGTGATGGTGAATCTTGTCATGCTGCACACTAATGATTCAAGATGATGTAGCTAGTGTTGTATACAAATTATTTAAGATGATGAAGCTTGTCATGTTGCACACAAATGATTGATGATGAAGCTTGTAATGCTACACAAAAAAAAATTGTTTGATGATATAGCTTGTCATGCTGCACACAAATGATTCAGGGTGACGAAGCATGTCATGCTGCACATTAATATTTCAGGATATTTCAGGGTGACGAAGCATGTCATGCTGCATTAAAGTTATCCATCAGTCACGTGTTCGTCAGCTGTTTTTCCCCAATGAAGTCCAGTCTTGGCCTGCAGCGCTCGACGCTCGGTTGGTAAAACCCGTTCTCGTCATGCACTTAGGAAAATCAGTAGGTTAAATTGTCCCAATAGTGAAACGCGTTGGTGAGATTTTAGTGTACACAATAAAGTATATCACACTTTGATGTGCTTCACTTAGCATTGGAAAACAATTTTGCCGGGTAAAATTCAATCAAGATGACCCAGACACGAACAAAAAGTGCTTTGATGTTCGTACAAATTCTCGCTCATTTCTGCGAGTGTACCCGACGCTCATAATCGTTATACTGCCTCTCAAGTTTCGTATTTCACTGAGAAAAATCATGAATTATGTGCATGTATATTGCGAGTTGTACAAAACTTGAAAACGTTCTTTTAATTCATATTTTTGACCGTGAACTCAACGCCAATTGTGTAGGTTGATTTTTAAATACCTAATATTTTGCATATAAACATTACAAAATAAATTTGTGAGTCTTGAATTGACTGGATAAAAACGGTTCTAGGGTGGTAAAAAAGTGAATTTATTATATATCAGTGATATTTGACGAAATCAAGTACTGTGATTAATTGTTCGTAGCAAGTAGTGTTGCCTTTTACAGCTGCAATTCTTTTCACTATATTCCTTTCAGTCTTAATCAACCTGTCTCTAGTCAAAGGCAGTTTGATTGAGTGATAATTTCGCTCTTTATGATTTTTTCTTCTTTCCTAAATACTTTTTCCTAATATTATATTATACATGTGGATGACGAGATCAATCTCCTCGTGTTAGCAACGCATAAGATATTTTCTGAAGCGCACAGCACCTGAATTTATCAAAGTCTTATCAGGAATTCTACACGCAGTTAGCGCCGATAAGGAGAGTCACCTCGAGTGATGGTAAAAAGACCTTGACTTGCATACAAACTAAGGAATGATAGGCCGAATGATAGACTTGTTATTCACAGACCTCTATGCGTGCGCGAGATGCAGCCTCTGCACTCTTGGTGATTCGGGAATTATGAATAAATTATAAAATAATAACCTATTGGAATAGAAAAGAAGTGTTGGCACTGAAGAAATAGGCCCATGGCCTGTTAGATTAATAATAGTTGTTAATCCCGAGTTCATCATCCTAATTACTAATTAATACCAGTGAGCCACGTGTATCCACCAACTAGGACAAAAGTGACTAGTGACAGTGAAAAAAGGTGCATCTAACTAATATATCAAAGGTCTACTGTATTTTGACCTTGATATTTTGCTCTTCATAGCTTCGTTTTCTTGCTGCGCATTCAACCTACATATTTTCAGTTTTTTGAAAAAGTAGATTTATATGTTCCTCTTGTTTATGCATTATTCCGACCATTGTGTGGATTGAATTTCCTAATCATATGATAATATTGTGAACCAATAATAACAATGTGTGTCTCTGCTTTCGTTCCAAAATTACAACTTCTCTCGCTTAATCATTTATAATTTCATGTAATCAATGACTTTTGTTTTGAAGGTTTTGGGTGAGAATGTTTTGCCAAGTCATCGCTATAGCTAGCTAGCTGGGATGCTCAATCCTATGCATCATTATGCATTATCACATCCACCGTAGCCTTGACATGGCATGACGGGGCAGTGATTATAATGACGGAAAATACACTGGTTTCATGATACATTACTTACTTACAAGCAAATTTCACAAAAATTAATGCTAAACACTTATTTACTGAGCTGGAACAAATTTAGGGATTTAGTTGCTTGACTGAAGTGGGTCATTGGTTCAACAATTAACTAATTAGCAGTGATTAGCTGTGCTTTTTCGTGGTCGCTTGATGATGTTTACTGATTTCAATAAATTTTGAAAAGATTTTATTACGTTCACGCTCTATACAATACGTTTTCTTTATAAACCGGGTAAAGAGATGTAGATAGATCATCGAATATGGCCGTTAAAATGCTGATAGAACTTATAATGTACCTGCATTGAAGTTTTGTAACGATCCTATTGAAAAACAAATTACGAAAAATAATTTCAGAACTGGTCGATATATTCCGACAATTTGACACTGAAATTGGGAATATTGCAACGCCAGTATTTTGAAGTTATGATAACTCGAGTGTTTAAAAAAAAATAAAGTAGCTCAGTCAGCTTTGCATAGCTGGCATGTTTTCTTTTCACCAGATCCAAGGTCGCCGTGTGTGCATATTTTTTACATTTTTTTTTGTTTATACTAATCATAAATTTTGTGAGCAGCTCTTTAGTTAATAAGTACGCTAAGAAATCATACAACTAGTGACATCATATTTAAGAACATTGAAAAATTCGCAAGGTGGCGTAAATCAACGGATGAGATCAAGTAATATATTAATTCGTGCTGGTTTTTGAACAGTCGAAATGTTCTTCAAGATTGTGGTAGCGCTTGATCGTCGCCAAAGCTCAGAAACATATCGCCTGTAAAAACTTGACTGTTCTACAGCAGCCTCTAGGTGGAGGTAGCCCTACTATCGAAAATACTCAATATATAGGGGTTTTTAGGTGTAATATTGGCCCAGCATTTAGGGGCATTCAGTCAATGACATAGGGTATTTCAAGCAAGTCCACTATCACAGACTAGTAATCAGGATCTACGTGTACTTAGGCCGATACGTTTTTTGAGGCCACTACCTGCTTGTACAAAGGCCGCTTCGTATACTAAGGTCACTTCATGTACTAAGGCCGCTGCGAGTACTAAGTTCGCTACGTGTACTAAGTTCGCTACGTGTACTAAGTTCGCTCCGTGTACTAAGTTCGCTACGTGTACTAAGGCCACTACTCAATCGAGTTTTTATAGTACGGCCTCAGCTCTGAACTTTCAAGCCCTTGCTGCGGTAGCCCTGTAGGCGTCAAGTGCACAATGGTTGAGGAAGAAGCTTGGGTTAGGCCGCTGTCCCCCGGTGAGGTGGTACACGAGATCGGGCAAGCCAAGCACCAGCACCAACTCTGCTGCTACAGGCTCGGTCTCTGCAGCGCCGAGGCTCTGATGGAGGACCAGATTACCTCTGCTCTGTCGGCTCTCTTCAGGTAACCTGCTTTATGATTTCTGAAAACCGTTTCGATATTTTTGAAACCCGTTTTGAGGGATCAGGCAATCTGGGATAGGATCTCTAAACATCGTTTTGATATATCAGGCAACAGTTATCAGTTATATTCAGGATTTCTCAAAACAGTTTCTACTGGCCGTTACGGTGTTACCTATGTTTTCTTGAAGTCGTTTTGATGGAACGTTTTCTTACGACCGTTTTGATGCCTCGTTAAATCGATTTTTCATTGCAAAGCGTTGCCTTGTCACTGGATTCATAATATGTTGCTTCATGCATGAAAGAAGGATTCCACCGTTATCTCCTTCACTGATATCATTCATACTATTGTGTTGTACCTATAAATTTCAAGTCATGTTAGATTGTCAATGTCTACACTAAAATTCCCACAAATTCTCTTTACTTTTCGTATTTTTTTCATTCAGTATTAAATCAAAATATGCAAAATAACCACACATTACACATGCACAATAAACATTTGAGTACATTCGATTTATTCTGAACAGAACTTGCCCACACCTGCGACTTTGTATTGTTGAACGTGGTGGGGAGCTTTGGTTCCGGAACATGGCGCAGGAGTCCGTAGACTTTAGCGTGAGTAATAAACCGCTTAATCGTAAGGCTTGATTTTCATCATTGTGCTTTATAAGATTTTGATTAAAGCTTGAAATTTTGCTGTATGAACATGACATTAATATACAGGCAACTTTTTGCCTGTATATATATCATGCTTGACGTACCGTGTAATGTGTATTCGCATTCAGCTCATGGCACTAGTTGATTCACAGTCGACTCACGCCAAAAATTTTGTCGATCATTGACGTCTCAACATTATTGACATACCAATCAATTAAATTAACTTATCTAACTAGATATTTTTAAGCAATCATATAATGACATTAATAATGAAATAATCCCGTATAGTTATCATCAGTCGCAGCTTTTTTTACGATCGCTGACGTCTCCACATTAATGATGTACTAATCATGTATAGTAAAGTTGCGTTCCTTCAAACTGTAACGTAAATTCCTGATTAATGGATCAAATATATATAGCCAACTTATGGTACAGATTTTTTCACAAAGTAAAGTCAAGGATTGATTTATGTACTATTTATTTATAGTTAACTAATGTTACAGATTTCTTCGAACACTAACGCAGCAGAAGAAATAGAACGTCAGGTAACGACGTCGTTTGTGTCGAGCAAAGGCCCTGTTTGGCGCGCCGTGTGGCTTCCGTTCGTCGAGTATGTGGAAGACACCGAAGCTGAGGCCGAAAAGAATACCTCGCTACCTGTCGAAAAAACCGACAAAAAAACAAGAGCAAACTCAAAAAACTCTGAGTGTCAAGAAAAAGTTGCTGTAGACGGTGTCAGTCGTCATTGGTTGCCGGAAGTCGCTGAGCAATTCTCACATACCTCAACGTTGTTACTTACTTTTCATCACTCGATCACCGATGGATTTACTTCGCTGAAAACGTGCGAACAACTGATATCTCTCCTGAATGTCACAGCGTGTGCAGGCAAGGTTCCTAACTGCTCGCAACAGATTGGAGAATTCAGCGATGGCGCAGAAACGATTCGTCTTGTTCAGGAGAGGAATGCGTTTTTAGAGAAACAACCAAAATTAAGGGAAATGATTGAAAGGGACATCGCGAGAATTTCGCAGTTTCGAAGCATTTTCACGGACACTTTCCCTATTTCACCTGAGGAGCAGCGGAATCGAACATCAAGTATTGTTCGCAGACTTTCCAAGGATCAGACCCAGAAACTCATGAAGTTCTTTCGGGAAGAGAACATACGGTTTAATTCCGGTTTCATAGCATTGGTGAACCTTACCCTTGTGGAAATGTTGAAGAAGAAAGGCGTGAAGCAGCGGTTGTTTGAAATATGCAGCTTCAACGCCATCAACATGAGACGGTACTGGAATGGCGATTCGAGTCGCGCCCTTGGCTGTCATTTTGGACCGATCTCCCTTGTGATGGACACAGCCTCGAGCAGCGTTCACCAGTTTCTGGAATACGCTCATGATGTCCAGACTAACATGCTGGATTATATTGCCCAGCATAGGGCGCTGGACGAATGTTTATTTCTGGATGTGAAGAGAGGAACCAACCACTCTAACATGGACGAATTCTTTGCATCGCCGCCTCTTCATCCTCAGTTCTGGTATTCGTTGACGAACATGGGTGAAGTTTCATCCCTCTTGCAAGGCTTGGGTGACAAGGTTCAGCTTGGCTGGATATCGAGACACAATTCTTTCCATCGGTACAACAGCACCTTTGTATTTGCGGTCCATACGTACAGAAAAAGACTGTATTTCACAATGGACTTTAACGCAAGGCTCCTTTCTAAAAACGTTGCAGAAGACGTCATCGCGACGCTCACTAATCTCATGTTTGACATCGTACGTCAGATGAGTTGATATGCGTCATCGTAAAATTAGCTACCTACATGTGCGAGTTCCCTATTGACCATTTGTTAATATATCTTGACACGCATGCTGTATCAAGAATTTCAGGGCGTGTCAACTGAAAAAGTGAATGAATGTGCATTAAATGATTAAGTTTACAGCAAGCTTTCAATTATTAAAAGCCTTTACGTCAGGTCATTTAGGACTAATCATTATAATGCACTGCACGGTGATTCCAATTTGCATGTAAATGTAAATCGTGGAGCATTCACATGATAAAAAACAAGCTATATATATGAGGTAGAATGTTTTGCACAAGCACACGCAGTTTCCTATCTCGCCAGTTGCCCGTCTGCCGGATCCATGTAATTATTGCAAGCTTCGTGACCGAAATATCAGAAAATTATTAAACTATCAGAGCACTTATTATTATTAGTGCTTTGTATAAATATAATAATAATTATTATTAATATTATTAACTATCAGAGCACTGGTGACGAAAAGGAATTGTCGATCAGGTGCAAATAGACGCTAATCACGTTAACAACGTATTTAAATTATTACAATGCAAGCAATAACTGTGATTGATAAATTAAGTTGAAGTCACTTCATCCATATTCATGCTGTGTATAATGTCGTAAGAGGTTGTTTATATACGTAAAATGTTGGCCTTTGCAATCAGTGCATGCGAGTTGGTCATAAGCTTATTTAATTTCATGTTTGTCTTTTAATTAATTGATTATAATGTTAAAAATATATAAGAACATTAAGGTTCTTTTATTGCCCTCTTTCCCGACGGATCTTTTACTGCTGTCGGGTCCAGAAAGGGATATCTTACTAATCTAATTTTGATACGGGCTTTCTGGGAGGTTAAGGAGTAAAGACTAGGTTATTAGACAGTAAAGATTAATCAAGTTAATTGGGTCAAAACATTAAAGTTCAGAAAAACGTGCAGCAATTAACAAATTATAGAAGAATCTACATTAAAATTATTTGTCAGTTTTAAAACTATGCAGCATTTTCTTGGTCATAAATTTAACAAATTTAGGTTTCAAATAAAAGATCATTTATGGTCATACATATTAAAAATTCAGTTAGTGAATGTCGGAAACAAATTAGACGGGTTTTAAAAACAATTTAACTCAGATCGCTGATAGTTACAGTATAAATTGTCCAGAACATACATGCATTATTACAGTATACAAATCATTATTCAATTCATGACTTATATTTTCATCAACTTTTTAGAACAACAAAGTATTTTTCAATTTCCAATGGAATGCATCATCATTAATACTTTACCCTTGAATATTGCAATAAACGTGATTTATTATATTTTAAATTAAGCTCGATTTTCCTCGATTCCATAGTAACTAATCGCTTCGTTGCTCAATGATGATATTTAATAAAACTGCAAAATCAATTTTGAATTTGTATTTAAAAGTTACTTAAAGGATAACTTGCCTAGACACGAACAATGAATACTCTGAGTCAAGTTATTCAACTGATGAAATAAATCAACAAACACGTCAATAAAAAATCTCTATCTGATGAACAAAAAAATGATTTAGCTATAAACTTGTCTATGCAAAGTTCCTAGACATGTAAATAGAAATCTAAACCGCCATTATACGCTCAAAAAATTATTTATGAGCATAAGACATCTGTGCGAAACACTCATGTTTTGCATACAGTAAGTCCATTACCATCATTGCCACAAAGGCATTTATGCAAATTACTACCAGCAATAGAGTTCCATTACCAACATCACCATAAAGACATCCATGTGAAGTTCCTAGACATGTCAATACAATTGAAAACACCATGAAGTGAACATACAATGATTAGTAAGACACTAGTCATAAGACATCAACGTGAAGGAAGACACTAGTCATAAGACATCAACGTGAAGTAAGACACTAGTCATAAGACATCAACCCTACCCTTTTTCATAAGAAGGAAAGCTCTTTTCAACTTCAATTAATATCATCTTTATTATTCAGGACGAATGGGCATCGCAGCTAAACAATTGTCAGACGATAGAAAAAGATAAGTAAGTATTCGAAAAGTTAAGTAAGATAAAAATCTCAGTAAGAAATATACCTTGAACATTAAAACATCTACAACAATGAACACTTCTAATTATGTCAACACTTTTAATTATGTCAATGAAATTGTGCATGCAATGCTAAATAGCAAACCAGAACTGGGGATATCGAGCTCAAAGTTTACTAATATTATTTATATCATCCATAATATAAATTATTTATATCATAATATGAATAAATAATATTAATGATATGAATAATAAGAGTAAAGCTCAGGACATTTTTTTCCCCAAATTTTCGGCGCCAAAATTTCGCGGGACATTTTTTCGGCCACGCCGTATATTCCCGCTGAACTGGGCCATAATACGGGCATTGCTGCTGAACTGGGCCATAATACGGACCATTATTCCTTATATTTTTTGCTATATATATGCAAATTTGATAACGAGACTTATAATTCAACTCAAGTATTTCCAATACGATTTAATGATATTAATAATGACCCAGGGCAATGTGCCCTAGATTGGGTTATTGATAAAAAGGTTTGACATTTTGGGATTTTAAAAAATAATTATATAAGGGGAGTTGGAGTTTAAATACTAAAAATTCAAACCCGTAATCCATTTCGACTCTCAAAAAGTACACTTTTGTTGACAATATCCACCAAAAAATTTTGGAAACTTTTCCATTGAATGTTCGTCTTTTTCTAAAAAAAATCTCGGCAAATGTTTTCAACAAGAACAAGAAACTAGAATTTTGTTCTGCATCTAGCAATCTCACACAGCAACTCATTGGAGGCATGGGGTGAGTCGCGGTGAGGTCCAAAGTGAGTCACGGTGAGGTCCAAAGTGAGTCACGGTGAGGTCCAAAGTGAGTCACGGTGAGGCCCAAAGTGAGTCACGGTGAGGTCCAAAGTGAGTCACGGTGAGGCCCAAAGTGAGTCACGGTGAGGCTCAAAGTGAGTCACGGGGGGGACAAAAGTGAGTCACGGTGAGGCCCACGGTGAGGCCCACGGTGAGGCCCACGGTGAGGCCCACGCTGAGACTCACGGTGAACTTACGGTGAGGCCGTTAGTCTCACGGTCTCGAAGACGAAAAACTTCAAAAGAAACCCTGGTAAATGTTCAAAAGTTCCTGCATTAAGTACAAAGCTTTACTTTAAACGATAATACAAGGCAGCTTTAAGATTACTCTATGGGACTAAACTATTTACAATTGAACCACTCAGAAAAACGGGTGAGTCAAATTGTCCAAATAGTGACACTTTTTGAAAGTTTCTTCAATACGTCTTTTTACGGCCAAGATTGGTCAGGATAACTCAGACAAGGACAAATGTTATTTGGACAAAATGTCACTCATATTTCCGAGTGAACGAATCCTGATAATAAGCGATTTTCTTGACCCACTTGATGGCACGGAGAACACATACACTCAGAGAAATGAGTGAGACTTTGTCCCAATAGCGACTAACATTTCGCCTTTGTGTGTGTCATCCTGACTCACTTTTGCTCGTAAAAAATGGCGTGTTAGAGCTACGAATAGAAAGTTTGTCTCTATTTGGGCAGTATGACTCATCATTTTTCAGAGTGTACACTAAATACAAATATGTTACATGAACAGCACGCGAATATCTTGTTATAACATCTCAACAATTTACATGTTAATGGCTTCAGAAAAAAATTAAGCGCGGTTCTTATTTTAAACAAATTAGACGATAATTCAACTCGATTTATACATGATCAAACTATGAGTTCGTTCTGTACGTGGAATAAAACATGGAAATCATTTCTCAATAGTTCACGAATTAATCGCTGTTAGAAAAATATTATAATAAATACTATGTTCAATTTAGAAGAAACGAAAATAAAACGGACATATTTTAAAGTAAACATGCTATTCAGGCACGGAAATGTTGCAATTAATCATTCACATAAATTCTGCAGACATACGAAGAGTTCATGAAATACATCAAAATTTCATCAGTTTAACTCATCTCAAAAATATTTTTTAACAAACATTGGAATTGTGAACTTCGGCTCAGGTGATATCAGCACCGAGTGTCTAATGGTACGTTACTTAGGTTTTATTTTCTTTTATAGAAATTTTGCTTTCCTCTGTAGATTGTACTTGCATTCATAGTACACTCAGAAAAAAGGGTCATATTGTTCAAATAGTGACACACTTCTTGCCTGTAGCACTGACACGCTCTTTGACAGAGAGGGACTGGGTAAGGATGGCCTAAACTAGGAGCAAAAAGTGCGTCACTTTTTTGTACAAAGTCTCACTCATTGTCTGAGTGGAAACGCAACAAATTTTTCTTGAAGCAAGTAATTTGCTTCTGAATTAAATGGCATCCAGCCTATGATTATTACAATAAACAATTAATTAAATTACAGCAACAATATAAAGACGGTAAATACAATGAGTTAAGCCTTATTAGGTTGTAACGATGGATATCTTCAGCCAATTTACGCTGATATCTTCAACCTTCTTTACGATCATATGGGCATCTTTTCAACCTCAATCAGATCAACAATATAAACCTTTTTGTCGTATCATACTGAGTCAGGATGACCTACACAAATACACAAAGTAAATCGCTATTTGGACAAAGTCTTTAAATTTTTTTAAGACTTTGCCTGTGGCCATGAAGGCAGAGTAACTGCCAAACGGCAGGAAAATTCAGAAATTAAAGCGTACAAAAAATTAAGTAGGATTTCGTGACGAAGTTACAGACTCATGGTTGAACTAGTATAAGTTCGACCCATGACAAGCGCATTTTTGAGGATGGAGCTTGTTTTTCGCCTATGACGTCACTGACCTCAGTGACGTCACGGGCATTAACCAATCACCAAAATGCGATCAAACCAGTCAAGCAATCCGTCATGAGAATGACGGGATTGTTTACGTTTCTCGATCTCGGAGACGTAACAAGAAAGCTGAACTGAAAGACGAAACTTCTCGTGGGTCAACCTTATTTGGTTCAACCATGCTACAGACTGATTAGTCAGATTATGGCTTGGGGTGTTGACATTCACAAAAACATAAAAATAAAGTTCAGATTATAAAGTTTGTCTTGTTATACACCTCGTGTATGAAAATGATGCCTTCATCTTTGTTGCTAAGCTGCTAAAGCTGTTCGAACTCAGTAAAATATTTATACCTACTTTGAATTTTCGATCATTTTGTGTTATTTCACCGTGGTTTGTAAAACGAGTTGAAAAGCCGACATGTCTTGAAATCATCGTTAGGACTAAAAACTTGGCAATTCAAACACTGGCTAACATTAATCAATCTCGAGGGGTTTTGTATAAATCTTAACTATGGCAACTTTAATTCTTACCAAAGCCCTTCTCCAGCGATTGATTATATCTGTGGTTAAAATAAAGCCCGTTCAAGCCCTTGTCCAGTGCTTGATTTTATCCGTGGCTAGAATAATGTCTACTTAAGGCCTTGTCCAGTGATTGATTTTATCCGTGGCTGGAATAAAGTCTACTTAAGGCCTTGTCCAGGGATTGATTTTATCCGTTGCTAAAATAACGTCTGTTTAAGCCCTTTTCTAGCGATTGATTATATCCATGGCTAAAATGAAGTCCACCAAAGTCCAAAGAAGCACACGAGCCTTCACTCAGAGCTCGCCTTCATCCATGGCCTTATTCAAGTCCTCAATGATAACCTTCATCTGGGGTCTGTACTGAGAGTCCTTCCTGAACATCTCCTCAAGGAAGGCCCCGTTGCTGAAGAAGTCCAGCACGTGGTCTATCCTTCCTACGCTCTTGTCTGTGAGGTGATCCTTCACTAGAGCCTTCAGAAGGTCCCGGCAGTCGGTGATGTTGTTCACCAGGAAGTTTTTGTCGTAGGTGAAGTCTACCTCGTAGAAGCTGATTATTGTCTTCACTATCGTCGAGAATTTTGTGCGTAACTGTAAGAGGAAACAGCAATTTATTATTATAGTCTGCACAAACCTCGAAAATAGTGTTAACTGATAAAATAGAAGATAAAATATTTTTTTAATTTGACGATCGTCGGAAAATTGTACCAAAACGAAAACATCATACGTCAACATAAAGGACATGGTATGAAAGTGGTCTCAGAAAGTAATAGTTTAAAAGGCACAAAAAATGAAGAAGTATTTGAATTCTTAAATGCAATAATTATCGTATATATAAATGTTTTCTTACGACGTCATCGTAAGAACTAAAAAGAAGGCATATGATTGCTCTTAAGAAAGCATAGCTGGATGAAACTAATGAAACGTACGTGCCATTTGGGACTCTATATTATTAATCAGAGCTATTATTAATAATAATTCGTAGTCCATAAATTTCTTCAGCGACTTACACATGCAACATCCTGAGGCCAAGTAAGTAAAGTAAAGCTACAGATTATCTATTCTTCGACTTGATCTCATACAAAACACAATACTCGTAAGTGATCAGCATGCATCTCACAAAGAATAGACAATAAAACGTTCGTTCTTGTTGCTCTTCAGTCTTTTCGCTCTTATATATATCCTCTTGAAATAAACAAACAAGAAGAATAAATGTGAGTACGAGAAAAATTGTCCATCACGCGAAATATGCTGCCAGTTTAAACAAATTAGGCTTAAAATATTATTACAACATTGTAATATGAGTCGAGTAATTAACGAGAACTTGAGATCGTCCACGATAATTTTGATAACTAAAATTTACAATTTGGCTAAATTCAGAAAACATGAACGGGTCATATTTGCCCAAAATAGTGTCCCATTTTCTTATCAAATTTAACAGTAGAAATCGGACGTATAGCACAGATACGCTCTTTAGTTGGGCTAAACTGTGTGAGGGTGAAAAAGTGCACAAATTTTCCGTCATTTGCACCAACATCTCCATTTGCACAAATTTTCCGTCATTTCTGAGTGCAGCTTAGGGCCCAATTATTGGAGCTACCGTCAGCAGATAAACTATTGCAAACCCTCGATTATGATTATAATTTAAAATTAAAAACCAACATTTAAGCAAGAAATATGATGGCCAATTAGCTTTATCTCTTTACCGTCAGTACAGAAACTATTGCAAAATTTCTATGCATTTCAACATTTATTGAAGCTATTTGTTCAAGAAAACTGTTCGGCAATCAAGTATGGGGAGCAATTGGATGCGCATCGGCAGCGACGACAGCTTTGATGCTCGCCAGGCTCTCGCCCTGACACTTGTTGATAAGAACGTGCAGCGTGTGCAGCACACGGCGTGAGTGCAGCACCTGCAGCACACGGCGTGAGTGCAGCGTGTGCAGCACACGGCGTGAGTGCAGCGTGTGCAGCACACGGCGTGAGTGCAGCGTGTGCAGCACACGGCGTGAGTGCAGCGTCTGTAAACTAATCGTTCGCACCAACTAACCCTCCATATTGCTCATCAGTTTCTTCATATTCCGAACTCTTCCAACAATATAGGAACAGGTTTCGCTGAAACTACTCGCATCATTCCGATCAACGTTCAGATCACTGAGCAAAAGCTTCATTGTGAAAAACTAATATTGAAGATTTATTAGCCCCATCTTTTCGGCGGCCCGAAAGGAAACTGTCATTCACTAAGCAGAAAAATTTTCAGTTTTTCTCGAATATGGCCATGGATTGCTAACTATATAAATAGTGTGTCCCTTTCAGTAATTATATCCTAAACTATTATCAGTATAACTGTATTCAACGTTAAAAAGAACTAAACTTTTGGCATAGTACCTAGTCATTAGAATGTGTATATGCGTGTTCCTCACCACACACTGCACTATGACCCTAAATAACTAACATAATATATAGAAATATTCCTAGGAAACGAACTTCCTGCCCAGACAGTAGTCATGAGAAAGTTAATCCTTGACAAGTTTCCTTGACATGCAAGAATATGAAACAGATGCTACAAGCACCAGTCTGGGCTTACGAAACCTCGCGCAAGCAGTGTCATGGCGTATGAACTCATCTAATCCACACTGCATAAACATAGCAGGGAAATTGCAATCATAGTGGGCAAGGCATGGAATTTTTGCCCAAACAAATTTTGAGTACAGTCTAGGCTTCTACCCAAGATTCGCTCCACTCGGCTTAAAATTATTCTGGGTCTGCTTGGCCACCCGTTTGAAATCAGCTTCTGGTCAGAATCTCCTTCCGACTTTATAGTCATCTTAGAGAAAAGTGTATCCAGAGAGTTTGACAAGTGTGTCCAGAGAGTGTGACAAGTGTGTCCTGAGAGTGTGACAAGTGTGTCCTGAAAGTATTAAATGTCTGTCTTGGGAGAATGAGCAGGGTTGGCCGAGCCGAGTCATACCGAGCATTCAAGCTGTCCTTTAAACCCAGAGCCGAAAGCGGACATATAGCGGCTGATTTACGAGCTCCCCGAGTCCAGGGCGGCATCTATTCCACAGTCTGACCGGTATATAAATTTTGTTAGTTTAGCGCCTCTGAATGGAAAACCTGTTATGAACGCCAAGACATTAAAGACTTAAAAAAATTATATGACTTATTAAAAATTAATTTAAAAATTAAAGACTGGGGTGCTTTGATGACTTACCTTGTTGATGTATTAAACTCAGCATTATAATTATAAATGTTGATTGAAGCCTCATTATCAGCACCCAGTTTAGGGCCAGTTACCTTGTTTGCACACTTGATGTCGTCGGCTGTAAATTGGTCGTTGCGGGCCAAGATACCGATTTTAACTACGACCTTGATGATGTTTTTGACAAGCTTCTCAGCCTCCTTCTTGTCGCCAGTCTGCACAATATATATCTCTTAACATCATCTTAATAATATGTTTTGTTAGAAAAGTACATGATTTGCTCATTATTAATATTCTACGAAGAGATTATCGCGGAGTCTAATAAATCAGAACATCAAGGACACGTTTTCAATTGAGGGAATTTTGAAAAAGTTCAAAAGTGAGCCAATTAGTGTACTTAGGCCACTACGTGTAGTAAGCCCATACGTGTACTTTGGCCGCTACGTTTACGTTGGCAGCTAAGTTCACTTTGGCCGCTACTAATAATTAAGCGAGTTTTCATATTATGGAAGCTTTACTATAATTACTAATGAGATAACGATAGGCGGGGGCTTAATTCAACCAATTAACGAGCCGCAATCAATCATCAGCACCAGCAAAGGCAAATTTTTTGCACTTTTGCAAAATGACCGAAATACACTTCACAGAACTAACGCACATGTGTACAATGGGATTAACTTATTAATGCTGAAAGAATTAAGAAAAATATAACTCAGTATTCACTGCAGTGAGTGACAGAGAGCGAATTTTCTCGTCGACGGAAACATGAAGTCACGGACGGACGGACAGACGGACGGACAGACGGACATGGCGAGCATAATAGTGCGTTTTTTCATAAATGAGAAAATGCGCTAAAAATGTCGCTTTAGCTGGGTAAAATTATTTTTTCATGGCAGGTTTACTCTATTCATATATTATCTAATTTCTTATTAATCACATTCTCTCTCCTACTCTCAGCTAATTACTATGGGATCTTTAACAAAAGCTACATTAAATAAAATATGCATGCTCAGTCACGACTGCAACAGCAGCTGCATTAATTAATGAAGCGCCAAACGTAATAAATTCGATCAGCATGAAGATTAATGGCAGAGAGCACGAATTTCTACTGACTTTAATAGAGAGAAGCCTAACTGACACAAAATGCATTGGAAAACTAAACTTAAATGAAAATTTTAGCATAACTCAACGAATGAAAACAATCTGAGAGTTTACATCATCATCGCCATGAGATAACATTTGAATTGAAAATATTGTTAAAGTAGGAAATTTATCGAGTCTCTGTTTTCTGTCTCAAAAGCTTAAAACTAAGGCAAATATGCTTAACATATATAATATATACTACATCAAAACGTAAATATAATGCACGACAAATAGTATGAATTACCAAGCGACCAGATAAAGGTTCAGGCTCACTTGCAAATATCTTTTAATTCTCTCGTTCTGACGCGTTATCTTCACTCAATATGTAACGTGCCCTCGAAGTTCTGTTGTACCAGCCACCACGATAATCTATTCGCAGAATAATTATAACAAAAACAAGGACAGCAAATACAATCTCTTCATAGTAACAATAAAATAATAATAATAATAGTAGTACAAGGTACGGTATATATTATATATTGATGCTTACATAGGCTTTGGCGAGATTATAACAGTATATAATTATACTGATAGATTATATATATGGCGAGATTATAACAGTATTGGCCTGTAAAGCCAAGCCTAATGATAATCGCTTAGTAGAATAATAATAATAATTATCAATAATATAAAATATCTCTCTGTGGAGTAATAATACTAATTACTAATAATATCACAAAATAAAGGCAGCATGCACATGACTACTTACATATGCTTTGGCGAGGTTCTTACACTCATCTATGATCTGTTCCATCATGAGGCCTCTAAGATCTGTTAAGTCATGCCTCATGATAATCTCTTCGTAAAATAATAATAATAATACTAATTACAAATAGTAAAAAATAAAGGCAGTATGTACATGACCACTTTAGTACTTACATAGGCTTTGGCGAGGTTGTATGTGTTGTCCAGTACAGAGGCAGATCTCTCGTCTATGAAGGTCTTGGCGACGCTTTTGTTGGACATTTTACCTAAAAGTTTCTTCTGTGCCCTGATGCTGATATCACGCGCTTTGAATGAGTCTCCCATGACGGTCGAGTGTTGGCTCCACACTTAGCAGAAAATTATTTTAATGCAAAATTAAAAATTAAGTGCAATGGCAGAAATTAACTCGGTGCACGAAAAATCAATCGAAAACTGGCTGCGACACTTTGCAGTATTTAACTTGAATTGGCACAAGAAAAATCAAGTTGCAAATGTCAAAATAACCTAAAAACTTTTCATGTATGTATTCATGCAACTTTTAAGCCTGATTTTAATCTGCGAGAATTGTTTCTGCAACAAAAAAAAAAACAAATAGATAAAATCAAGTGGCAAATGTCAAAACAATCTAAATACTTCGCTTGTATTTAAGGTTTCAATCGACTTTTAATCGTATATGCTTGGTTTCGAACCTCATGAATTGATTCTGAAACACAAAAATAATAGAAACAACATTAGTCATAATTATGATAATCCTTCATAATCAATACAAGTTAAAAGACGCAAAAATATGACTCAACAGAAAACAATAAAATTTTATTTGCCAGCAAATGATCAAATGAATGATCTAGTGAGAATGCAGCAAGGGTAAGAAATCCATTCGTTATTATTATTTGTTGATATTGTTATCATTATTACACGTTTTATTGTATTTAATCGACAGGCGTTAAAAGAAAACTGGGCTAACGGACATTACAGAATGGGGTTGTTATTCTGTGCGATATTGGCGGGGGACGTCTACTATAAATAAGTGTCGAGTTTGCAACTCATCTTATCACTGATGGCTTTTCAAAATAATAGCATCAATCTTAGACGAGATATTGGCCACCGCGAATACTTATGCCGCTACGTGTACTTAAGCGGCAGCGTGTACTTAGGCCGCAACGTGTACTTAAGCGGCAGCGTGTACTTATGCAACGTGTACTTAGGCTGCAACGTGTACTTAGGCCGCAACGTGTACTTAGGCCGCAACGTGTACTTAGGCTGCAACGTGTACTTAGGCCGCAACGTGTACTTAGGCCGCAACGTGTACTTAGAGCATCGCGAACACTTAGGCCATTATATATATATATATATACGTGTACTTAGGCAGCAACGTGTACTTAGGCCGCAACGTGTACTTAGGCCGCAGCGTGTACTTAGGCCGCAACGTGTACTTAGGCCGCTACGTGTACTTAGGCCGCTATGTGTACTAAGGCTGCTATATACGTGTACTTAAACGAGTTTTCTCAGTACAGCCCCATGTCTACAAGATAAACTACGTTAAGTTTATTTCGGTACAACGTAAAAACACATAACAGACTAAATATCCTTCTTCGTAGCCACAAGCACGAACAGGCCGTGCACTGGGCTAAAGTTTGATATTAAGGACTGATTTACATCAAATTCCTTCACAACACGCATATCATCAAGCGGGTCCATGACCCATGTGTTGGCATAGGGATAAATAAATAAATAAATTGGACGGGTAATAGTCCAAACACAACAGCCAAGCACAAAACTTTGAATTATAACGTTCAGTAGAAGCGAAGATCAGCATGCTTGTCTCTCATGAGGAGTTAGTTAGAGTTAGTATACACTCAGAAAAATTGAAAAATACACTCAGGGCTAAGCACCTGGCCTCACAAGGGCTAATTAAGCTGGGCCAGGATGACCTAAACAAGGGCAAAAAGGGCATCACTATTTAGACCAAGTCTCACTCGTTTCTCTGAGTGTATAGTCAGTACGGAAGACATTTAATGAAGTATTGATGTGGAGGTCATCCAAGTGAGTCTCAAAAATACGATTATATATGTTATGTGACCAGTTCAATTCCACATTTTTATTCACTCACGAGGAATTCTGATATATAAAACGTAAAACTGCCCAGTAAAGCTACGAATATATATAGGTTATATGATCAGTTTAATTTCATATTATTGTTCTCTCACGAAGAATTCTAAGAGATAGAATGAAAAATTTCCCATGTAAGGTTCCGAATATTTAGGTTGCAAGACTAGTTCACTTTGATATTGTTATTCTCGTACATAGAATTACGAGAAATAGAATACAAAATGGCTCAGTATAAAAGTATAAGGCTAAGGCTCAGTATAATATGGTATAAGGCTAATGGCTCAATATACTCGTATAATGCTAAGGTAAAGCTTTGGTTGGAGCTACAAAGGTTGCTGATTATAAGACTTCGGTACAACTGCACGATAAAGCTGATAAGAAATCAGAAGCTTCACAATAGCCACACAGATAATTATTAGTCAATTATTGAAACGTTGTTCGTTATTGTATATCAGTAGAAACTTTTCTTACATTTCTTAGGTTAACAACTATTATGTGATGCAACAGTTTTATTCTTGTTGATGAGATGATATCTTTTTTATCATAGATCACATTTGAGATAAGATTGTTTACTGCATCAACTGATCGATGAGTGCAAACAATAGCATTAAGATCAATTATGTATACCTATATCATATATAGCGTATATATTTATATGTATATAATTATATATATTTTTACGACGTCCACCTCAAGGTTGCTAATGCAATCTTTATGTGTACTTAAAATTGTGATGCAATTGCATGCGTATTCGACAAGAAGAAATGTTTCTATCAAGAAACTAAAAGCAAGTTATAAAATATTAGATTTCACTCAGTAAATCTCAGTAAATTTCACATCTGGGCTTCGTCCAAATAGCGATGTATAGGTACTTTCTGCCTAGCGTGGGTCATCCTGACCCAGTTTTGCCAGGCTAAAGGACGTGTCGGTGCTACATGCAAAAAGTCTGTCGCTATTTGGACAATGTGACCCATTCATTTTTAAAATGTATAAATTTCAAATATGTACCTATGTGTGATGATGAGGTATAGGTGTGGGGATGAGGTATAGGTGTGGGGATGAGGTATGTACAGGGATGAGGTATAGGTGTGGGGATGAGGTATAGGTGCGGGGATGAGGTATAGGCTGTCTCTTATACACATCTAGATGTGTACAGTGCTGGCGACATAAGTATTGCGTTGGGTCCAGTGCTGGCGACATAGTATTGCGTTGGGTCCAGTGTTGGCGACATAAGTATTGCGTTGGGTCCAGTGCTGGCGACATAGTATTGCGTTGGGTCCAGTGTTGGCGACATAAGTATTGCGGGTGTGATCGAAAATCGATTATCTGATGAATTGTGATGCCTTTCTATGCCATTTGATCGACAATAGTCGTATCTATATAATCTAAAACCACAATTAAAATAATGCCTTAAAAACGTGCTTCAGCAAACATTTCTCTGTTATGCGAAACATTTCATTCAAGTCTAGTGAACTAACTAATTCCTTTTTAGAAGTCATAAACCTCTTTTATACGCCAGACGTGGAAATGGCTGTATCAGAGATTCAACATTTTTTTGAAATAGCCATAATTTTATTTGAATAGACTACAACACTTTATTCACACTTTAAATCTGTTCACGATTTCGATCTCCATGCATGACGCTCGTAAACCATGAAACTATACGTCAAGAATTTTTGATTAGAATATCAACACGTGGAGACCAATCTTCAACAAATAATTGTAATTCTCATTCGCAAGTCAAAAAACTCCAATCAACTGTCAAGATACATTCCATGAAAATAACGTTGAAACGATGTTTATAGGAGTTAAAATCGTTGAATAAAACGTTATTTCAACGTCAGTTGCCTGGTGGGTAGGATTTATACATACCCGGTATTTGCCGGCAAGGTAAGCAAGCTTGAAATATCCTAATGAAGCACTAACGCCCACCTAAGGACGAATTAGGTAAACGGATCTTGCTTGTAGTCTTGCCGGAGACTGAAGTGAGGATATTTATACTGTAATTCGTCAATTTTGACTCATAATTGGGCATTCGACATTAAATTCAGGACACACATTGAACATTATGAGTTGAACACATTCATTTAAAAAAGTATTGGGACTATTCCCATACAAGAGTTAGTAATCACATTACTGACGTCTTCAAAAACAATTATTTTACATTTTCTTGGTTTTATGCGTAAGCTCGGATTCAATATCGATATGGTGAATTTTCTTGGCGTTTTCTTTGCTTTTAAATTCCTTGTGAACTTGCGATATAAGCAGACTGATAATATAAGTACTCGGAAGAAATGAAACGAATAGTCGCAGGCGGTACACTTCAGCAGTTCTGTATAACATGCATGGGCTACATGCATGCACTGCAAACTCAAACGTCTAACTTGGAGGCAATGCTAACGGCTAAAGATAGAGAATTATTTTACGTTAATTTGTAAAGAAGATAATTTACGATAATAATTGATAACTCCTGCCATTTAAAAGTTTACTTCACTATAAAAAAAAACACTGATCAGCCATTCCATTCAGAGAAATAAGATGTCAGTTATGATTAATTTATTGAATTTATAGAATAAACGATATATACTGCTATTGTAAATACGCAATCAATAGCTAAGTTTTCTGAAATATTTAAATGCTGAAGATTGTTGAGCGCATTATTTCAATGAAAAGTGTTACTTATCTAATAATTCATGTTCAATACCATTTGGCATTAATAGTCAAATTTTCAGCACTTGCCATTCAGTTGAAGTTCGAAGCTCTTAAAAAGTTTATTATACAAGTAATTACTGCGATTCGATAAAAAAAACGATGCCTTCAATCCGACTATTCCTATTTTAGTAGAACGTACGACAGTTATAATTTATTTTTTTATCCCATATCAGAGACGATATTTTGTTAGGAGGTTAACGAATCTCAGTTCCCCAATTGCCGTCACGAACAGAAGCATTTTCCTTTTTTTTAATTCAAGTTATCGCGAATAGCAATATCCAGGAAAGGTCACAGAGTCCGACGGTATTAGCATATCATGCTGATGCATCTGTATCACAAATTAACGAAATTATCAACCAGGATTAGTATTTAACCACGCTGACAACAAGACATTGAGTGCCATCAGAGCGGAATAATGCATCTATAATGTATTGAAATATCTATAGACAATTATATATACCGTGTGGTGAGCATGCCTTGCAATAGAGGTTGAACTCCAGTGCTGTATGTTGTTTCAAGCAACAGCTGTGACCTCCAAAAGGCAGGTGGTGACCGAGAAACGAACTAGCGCCCAACTCCCAGTTCCTGTACTGCCCTCAGCAAAATATTCCCTGATTGATGATACTGAAATATACAATACACCTCTACTTTGAAATTTTTGGTGAGCTATTGTTGCAACGCTTGCAGCGCTCTGTGCTGTTATTCTTCTTAGTTAGTTGCTGTGGCTACGTTTGCAACAAATTTTCCTACAGCTGTGGACCTACATGGACAAGTCTTCGAAGCTCCAATTATCACCAAACAACAACTCCCAGGTTGGATCCTCTCACCTCAAAACACTATGGGCCATGGCAGTCCTTCCTAGCAAATGAATAAACGTGGCAAACTAAACTTACGAGTTCATACACGAATTTATAAAAAAAATAATTGCTTCAGATACGAGTAGATATAGGAATTAGGAAAGAGAATGTGTTCGCTTTGTCCTTCATCGTAGCCATAGAAAGCACGATTGTCGATGAAAAGAATGATTTCGCTGCTTCATCATCACAACAACTCCGCTCATCTGTTTGGTCAATTTTCTAAAAAAAATAATTCACCTGGACCCTATTGCAACAGTGCGACCAAGTGACCAGTTCAGGTAAAATAATTCACGGTTAATGTACTTAGTGTTTTCTGTTATCTCTAAAGATTATGCGTAGCATAATTCGCTACCCAAGTAGTAGTAGTCAACGCACTACACAGCTCCTTTCGGATTTCATTTTTGAGTCACATTTGTTAGCGTATAAAAGGTAATTCTCACACCAACTTACTGAGCTTGCGACCCTTTCTCAGCAACTTGACGCGCCACTTATTATAAAAGAGAAGCAGGAACTATAACGCGGGTTTTGTACCGCAGGGCACAGCTGCTTTGATTCACAAGACACGTACGCACAACCTTCCCACACTAAGTCCAGCGTTACACTAAAATAAATAAAAACCGGATTCTCTCTCCAAGTCCTCCGAGCGAATCAACGGTCGCGACGCAATCTGGTCCCGCGGCAACCGCGCACTGTTTAATAAAAGTTATTCCGTAGATAGTTGAACGAAATAAAATACGTATAATATTTGTGTTCGCATTTCTCGTTCATTTACTCCAAATTTAGTGTGTCGTAAGCATTTATCTGTATTCAAAACGGAAAATTAGATAAAGGAAAAGAAGCTTTTAATTTATTCATATCATGAATTCATTAGTAATAAACTTATATCTATTTACATTCTTGGATATATTGATACTATGACAGAAATTTTTTAATTTATCGGGTGTTGATTGGAAATTTTATATCTAAAATATGAATTTGATTGTAATTTCCGTAAGTTGAAGTAACTACTACAAAGAAAATCATCGGTTATAATTAGCAGAGAAGTTGATGTCACGAACATGTCGCTAAATGTGCTGTAGTTCCCATGTTACGTCTGGATGTAGCGCAACTTCCGCAGGATCACTGCGTAACGGTTTTCTACAGCCAAGAGCCTGAGGTTTCTTGAAAATGGTGCGAGTCTTTTTACAGGCTTTCACCAAACCTTCTCAAAGTGCGTATAAATCATCATCCAATGATGAACAGATGCAGCTTTACTAACATAAACTGCATCTATGACTATGAGGCACAGAGGCAGTATGAGGCTTGTACGTCGTGAGCGTGAGCACTGAGGAAGTGAGGACTGAGGACACACCACATGATCAAGATAATGGATGTCAGGATGAGTCTTCAGGGCTGAAGCTCCTGTAAATATACTGGAAGGGTAAAGGGTTATTCTTAAATAAAAGCTACGGTAATGAAACTATAAAGTCTGAGAGTGACTGAGACTGTTGCTGTTGGTAAATTTGGTAACCTCATTATCATTCATTATGCCCTAATATTGCTCTCAGTATTATTTTTTAGTATTGTTTGAAATAAGATGTTAGTTCCAGAATCAGAATTTGATTTATACTTCCAGACAGAGTTATAGTGGTGAACTTCCAAAGACTGAAAGAGAACATTTTTTGTTGCTCTTAGTTCCAGCCTTCCTTCCTCAACTTCTCAAGTTCATTTTTGAGTCCTATAAGTAAAGTATAGAGCAGAGCACATGATTGTTTGCAAAGATATTTTGGAGGTTAGGGTCATACTGTATAGTCTCTGTAGTGTGTAGACTAATAAACTAGTTACTTCTAAGTTCTACTAGTAAACTAGTTACTACTACTAGTAGTAGTAACCTAGTAACCAATAACTGGTTTGTTGATTTGTCAGAGAGGGAGTGCAGGAGCGACCAGAATTTGGCTGGATTTCTCATTCTCTGCAGGTTGGTTGACTGGACTGGTGGTGGTGACTGGTGGGTCCAGTGAGACGGTGTCACGGTGACCCTGAAGGAGGGGGAGTGGGGGTGCCCGGGTGGGCGGAGAGGCTGGGGGCAGGGGGGAGGAAGGGGGCAGTGAAATGGGGGAAAGCCGAAGGACGGAGTCGCAATATACCCGTGACCCGGGGCAGGTCCAGGTGCAGCAGTACTGGGTAACTGGGATGCCCGGCTGAGCTCCGGGCTGAGCCCGGACTCCGGAGCACCATTTATGGACCAAGAGACTGCAACAATTGCGCAGGATCAGGAAGGAGACTCCCTGCCAGGTGACTGAGCGCAGGCAGATGCCACAAGGGAGCTGCCAGGGCCATAGTGGCAAACCAGTGGTTTTCTAGAATCAGTTCATTTTTAATTTCCTCATTTACTCAAGATTTTAACAGATTTCTTATGTATGATGATTCTGGTATCCAAGATACTTTACTGGTCTACTTATAGGACTCAAAAATGAACTTGAGGAAGAGTCTAAAAAACTCTCTGCTTTGCCACTATGGCCAGGGCTGGGGTGAGGGTGGATATCCGCCATCAAGAGAACTTAGAGAAGGAGGGCAATGGTGACTTGGTCAAGTGGGCCAGCACCCGGCTGCGGCTGAAGACAGGAATGGCGATGGGGAAAACCGGAGAAGTGGCACCACCAATCCGAAAAAAAACAGCTCACAGCAGGTCTTGGAGTTGAGTCTGTGTTTGGCAACCCAAGAGCAATGGGTTGTACTGGAGAGGTCCATCCACCACGATTTATTCCACGAAGAGGCCCGGACGTTAGATGGGGTTACCAATAACTAACCATAGTAGGCATCTTGGATACTACTTGTTAGTTGTACCAGCATCGTGTTACATAAGAAATTGATCAAAATATTGACTTGAATTCAATGAATTGCATTAATATCTGAATTTAAATAATTTCTAATTGATATTTAGAGGCATTTTTATTGAGTAGATGAGAAAATTAAAAAGAAAAAAAGATTCTAGAATATGCTTCCAGATCCAGAATGGCCTGCAGGCCTGGCACAGCTGCCCCTGCCACTGCATAATCAGGCAAGGATGCTGATCCCTTTTCTTGACAACACTAATTTGCTGCTCTAAAAATGCCATTTGCCCAAGTTAAATGGTAGTCTAATAGTCAAACTAGAAAATCAGGTAGAGGGTGAGCCTGTGAGGCTGCTACTGAGCGAGTGTGAGGTGAGGGGCTGAGGGCAACTGAATGTGACTTTTATCACCCAGCCAGGGTGCAGAGTTTGGTGAATGTGTTGCAAACTTTTGCATTTGTAGACCAAAAATGTTTCTGACAGTACCCACTACCCCAGATGTGTTGCCGCATCTCGGGCAGTCTTCAAGATGCGTCACCTTGTTGCCAGCAGTCTTCAAGATGCGCTGCAAAAATAATTTTCATCATAATTCTTACAAAACAATTTTGACGAGTGTATCTCTAACACTGCAGGTATCAGCTTTGAAAGGATGTTGTCATGACGTCACGGCTCCAAATTGTGAAACACATTTTGGGATCAGCCGCAATATTTGTTGCATGGTCTAGCTTTTGCCTACTTTTTCTATCTACCACTGCTTGTCTCTTTTTGAAGTTTTACTTGACGATGGGATGCTACTGCACCATTATTGGATGCACCAGTCATTTTCACAATTATTTAAACAGAAAACTAGATAATGGAATGTGTTTCTTCAGTTTACCAGTCATAAAGAAAGGCCTAGGCAGCAAAGTTTTTGACAGCAGTTTTTCATTCAGCTGCATTGAGTGCATCACCTGAAAGCAGAAAGTTATACCTGTTACTGTAATATTTATGATACATGATACTATATATTTTCCAGGGGCAAAATCTGTTACTTGCCACTAGATAAGCTACATAAGTAAGAATAAAAAAATAATAATATTCACAGATCAGATTACATTGTCATGAATCATGATCCATTATCCTCATCTTGGCAGCAATGACAGTGTTATGCAGTTCACTGGTTTGTGGGTGTAGTATATCTCCTGCACCCATCCATCCACAAATTGCTTGAAAGCTTCAAGCATCTTGTACCTATGCCTTAAATTCTTGGCAAGGTGTATTGGCTGACAATAGTTCAGTAAATTGCTGTGCAAAATGGGAGGCAGGCTTGCAAAATCTGCTCACCACTTTTTTGCCAGCACTTAGTAGTTATTGACATCGTAAATGTCAAACAATTTTCTTAAATACTGGTCTCTTGCTGAAAGGAGTTTTTGACAAATGCTTAATCATTTCAGCTTTGCTCTTTATTTCTCCATGTCTTGAATACTGGTCTCTTGCTGAAAGGAGTTTTTGACAAATGCTTAATCATTTCTGCTTTACTCTTTCTTTCTCCATTGTCACCAAGACTTCCAAATGTGTAGAAAAGATAGGAAAGAAAGAGTCATGGTTGAACTATATAAGGTTGACCCATGAAAATTTCCTTCTTTCAGTTAAGCTTTCTTGTTATGTCACTGAGGCTGTGAAACAGTAACAATCCCGTCATTCCCAGGATGGATTGTTTGACTGCTCTGATCACATTTTGGTGAATATGTAATGCCCGAGACATCACAGGAGAACAACAAACTACATCCTCAAAAATGAGCTTCTTATGGGTCAATATAAGACTAGTTCAACCGTGGAAGAGTCAGCTAAGGCGTGAGTGTGCAACAAACATGGTGCAAGAGCAAGCTGCTTATGTGGAAACGCAGGAGCTTGGCCAGCCCGATGTAATGGGTCGTCTTTATTAGTTAAGCAAGGGAAGGTATTCAAGGTTCTTTAAAATCTAAAGGGTTAAATAAAAGATGGACTCCCAACTCCCCTTATAGCCATCCCTGTCCACCAGGTGTTTTTTCTCTTTTTGTTCAACTTTATTTAATTCTAATACAAGATTTAATTATTAAGGAACCTAAAATTTAAACATGACAGGGAACCCTAAATCAAAAAACCTAGCCAAATAACTGGGTAACTGGAAAACTGTTAACCGTATACTCAAATAACCATATAACTCCTAAACTGGACAACCAGCAACTGTAAAACTAGGCAAATGGTACAACCGTACAACCAGACAAACGGGGCATGGGTCGCGTATGTGAAGTACTTGAAGATGCTTCTGTAAAATATTTACGTTATCAACACCTAACACACTATTATTAAACACAACATCAATACAAACTTCAAAACATATATACACAATAAACTATCAAGCAGGATAACAGATAAATATATTTCTCATCTTTAACGGTATTCGCAAAAACACGACATTAAAATCTTTACCACTGAATATATGAGCAGTGATTTAAAAAAGTACCTATATCTTGGCAACTAATACTCACCAACCACAGGCAGTAGTGTGAGTATGATATGATGGCGGAGAGGAGATTTGGAATTTTAATCAATCACCACTGACACATAAAATAATGGTCTGCAAAAAGGGCAAAGAGAATGAGATGGAGAGCACTGACAACACAAATATTGATGTTTACCATGAATTTCAAGATTCTAAAAACAACTACGTTAACTCGGAACTGGGGGAGCGTTACTTCCCCAAGTGGGATCAAGGTGTGAACGAGGAAAATCGTTCACTAAATTATTCAATGTGCATTTTCTTGTGACGAAGTTATTCTATTACGTCGGGCGAAGCCGTGCCAGTGACATGTGAGTCAGGCCTATAGCAGTTGGAACTGTCTAGTACCAGGTCAGGTCTGAGCGTCAGGTAGTCAGTCGTGTCCCGCCAGCCCTTCAGTGAGGTTCATACCTGAACCTGCTCAGCTGTGTTAACTCCTGGCATTCTTTGCTTAACGCTGTGGCTGTGCTGTGAGAACTTAGTCTTACCTGCTATCGTTCGCCTACGTGAAGTAATTTAACCTTAACTACGTGCATTAATGCTGTGCAATAGTAAATTGAATTGAACCAATTTGAACGATTCTTATAATAGTCATTTTAGTCGGAATTTGTGCTTTCCCTTTACCATGTTTTACTGATTTTAAACAGTGATTCAATAAACTATTTTAAGTGTGTTTTGTCGTGATTATTCCATGGCCACTGAACCGGCTTAACTGACGATGACTAGGAGAGTTGAACGGCATTGTAGGTTAGATGAACGAGCACAGTAGCCTGGAATTTATTCATATATTGTCCTGGCCTATGAGCGGTGAATCCTGATAGTGAATTACAAGCCTGACGTTCAGATTGAATTATAGTAGCTCTGGCCGGTGACAAAGGTAACCACCACTCTCCAGCAGAAAGAGTGACAGCCCATAATACCGATTGCTGTAGGCACTTGCATTGCAACCAAAATAACCAAATTGTGGACTGTGCTCTGCAGCCTTATCTAACTATCCCGATACCAGAAATTTTAAAAAAAATTCAGCAACTGGTGTACCTCCTGTTCTAGGGTTAACATTGCTGAAGGTTTGCAAATTGTTTGTAATCATTTTAATCCAAATGTGTTGGCAAGATCTTCTGAAAGCATTAATTTTGCCACTGATGCTTTGCCAGAGATGTGTAAAGCTTTTCTTTCTACTAATTTTGGAATATTCTGCCCAATGTTTAAGATACCTAGTGTATTTCAACTATGGTTGCTAATTGCACTTCTTCTCCCATTGCAATTTTAAAATTTACTATGGAAATAAATTGGTTGAAGAGCATAGGGATATTGTTCCTCACCTGAAGCATGGTAACAAACCAGAGATTTTTAAAAATCAGTTCATTTTAAATTTCCTCACTCAAGATTTGAATCAATTTCTTATGTATGATAATGCTGGTATCCATGATACTTTACTGGTCTACTTCAGGGATACAAAAATGAACTTGAGGATGAGTCTTAAAAAGTCTTTGCTTTGACACCATCAACTGCCCTTAAACGTATTTCTACTGAGAGCCTTTTTTTCTAGCAACTAATTCTCAATAAAATATGGTTTCCCTAGGTACCGTAAAATGGGGTAACTTAGACCGGCGGGGTAACTTAGACCACTTTTTGTTTTTTTTTAACAAAAACCCCCACTACTCAAAAACTATTTGACATAGAAAAATTTTGTCAATGGGCATTAAAGGCCTAATACTGAGGCTACATAACACAATATGCTGGGGTAACAAAGACCATCACTTTTTTTTGAAATTACATAAAGACTATGAGAGGCAGGAGCCAGCAATTTATGGTGAGTGAAGCTAGAGTATAGACCTGTATTTTGCACGTTTCAATTCAAGTTTAATTTAGCTAGTAAAAAAATGGCATCATTTATAATAAAAAAAAGTGGTCTAAGTTACCCCATTTTACGGTACCTACCCCTGGAAATAACTGTTAGAAATAAGGTTCCCCTTATAATTTAAGAAAGTGGAAAAAGGCCATAGGAACAGGTGAAATTTACCAGATTCATAGTCGTTTTTGTCAATTCTGCCCAATTTTCCACTTAAGTCAATATGGAGCCTTTTAGAAAATGGGTAAAAATTATTTTAGTAATAAGGTACCGGTAGTATTGTAGTAGGTAGTAGGACTAGAAAGGTATATCTGGTTGGAATGAAGTCCTGCTATAAGAGGTGAATGTGTCAATTTCTATTCTTTTTTAATTTTAATTCTAATATTAGTCAAAAATTATTATAAAATTTTTATTTCAAAACAAGAGGAAAAGGATGAAGTATAGCATTTTATAGTTCAGTGGTCTAATTTTACCATAAAATGACGCAGAACTGAGGTTAACATCTTCAAACATGAGTGGAAGTCACCCACAAAATTGTTATTTATCTAATTGAAATGTTTTTTTATAATTTTTTCTGAAATTGCATTATTCATTTCAGACTGCATCCATAATGGGCAACCGATATGATGATAGATTTAGAATTCCCATTCACATTATTACAGATTGCATAAGGTGAGGCTACATATCTTATCTGCTAGGTATTACAAAATATCTTTAATTTTTTATTTCTGTTAAAATTTTGAGTATTGAAGTATATTTGATTTGCATTTTGGTATAAGATGCAATAATTTTAGTTATTTATTTTAACTAATACCAGGTACGTACGTATTTAGTTTCAATTGACTTAGCTCATCTCAATATAAAAAAACTATTATGTGCAACTTCTGGTGTAAATTTTTAAAATTTATTTACTTGATTATCATTGAAGCAAAAGAATATTCCAACATTATATTTTTCTAAGTTGTATTAATTCTGTTCGTTTCTGCAGCCGATTTCTCATGGAGGAAGTTGATCGTGTGTTTGAGGATCGTATTCATTACTGCACATACCTGGAGCAAGCTTATTGGTTCTACAAGGACTGTTGGCTTGATGAGCAGCCAGAAACCCTGAAGCTTGTGTCCTTTGCTGGCTTTATTGATCAGGTTAACCAGGTATTAAAACTTTTGAGAAAAGCTTACATTGTATTGAAAATATAAGTGACATTGTCATATTTTTTATCTATTTATTCTGATACAATATTGTTCACATTCCCTAGTTGAAGAAATTCCTAAATTACTTCTTCTGAATGACCATAGTTATGATTATGATTGTCTAATTATAAGACATTAGTTACATACCTGTAAATACAAAAAAAATTGTGCTTTATGTTAAGATCTATTTCATTTTATGCTATAATTCAGGCTCTTATTGTGATATGTTCTGAGCAATAATAGTGATAATATTTTCAGGCTTTAGCTTGCAAGTGGCCAGGAGGAGGCACAGCTCAGCAGCTAGTAGGGGAGTTTACAGACTTCAAGCACCACGTGAGCACCTACGGGGCCATCTTAGTGGACCCTTCCCTCTCTAAAGTACTGCTGGTGCAGGTATGTACCACCTGCAACTTGGGCCCATACTGCCTGCTACTTAGTACCAACTGCAACTTGAGTCTGTACCACATATAATGCAAGGTAATACCACCTGCTACTTGGGCCCATACTGCCTGCTAGTTAGTACCACCTCCACCTGCAACTTGGGCCCATACTGCCTGCTAGTTAGTACCACCTGCAACTTGGGCCCATACTGCCTGCTAGTTAGTAGGTACCACCTGCAACTTGAGTCTGTACCACATATTATGCAGGTCTGTACCGCGTGTGACTTGGGTCTGTACCACCTATAACTTCTCTCTGTATCACTTGCGACTAAACATACCATCTGTGACTTTGGCATGTAGTACCACATATAATGCATGTCTGTACCACTAACTTCTCTCCATACCACCTGTGATGCAGGTCTGTACCACCTGTGACTTGAGTTTGTACAGTACCACTTGTGACTCTCCTTACCACCTGTGATATTTGCCTGTAGCACCTGCGACTCTGGTTCAATAATGGCAAATTTTTCTTTTTGGATTCAAGCAGTATTTTTTTTGTAGCATTTAACTATAACTAGCAGTCAGCTTAAAATTTTTTACTCTTCATTTTTCATTTTAATATTCAAATTTTTCTAAAATTTAATGCTAATTATTTATACCATGTATTTGTGAATGACAATTTAATGCTTTGTTAACCAAAGGTTAGAATATTTTAGATAATTCATGTGGTTGTTAGGAGCAGTTTTGGCACAAATTTATTGTGTTAAGTGAAGATATTTCCTCATCATACGCTCGAGTCCCAATCAAGTCACCTGATATAAAAAGTACCTACTTGCTGACAATTATTTCTCTTCTAAGAACATGAAGTTCAATAACCGTGGTTGAAGATATTGTTGCTCCTGGCGTTATGCTTGATGCTGATAAAGATGCAGCAAATCTGCATTACTATTATAATATCTTATTTTTATCATTATATAGGTATGTTATTTTGACTCCATATTTAAACAGAATGCAATATTCAAGCTACATTAGTGCCACAATTCAAGCCTTCCATTATTATGACTATATTCTTCAGGTGAAGGGCAAGATAACTTTAAACTTTGGTTGCCAAATTTTAGAGGCTGGCAATCTATTCTCGCCAAAATTGTGCAACTAAGAAATATAGAGCACAAAAATAGGCTGCCCTATTATTAACTATTTAAGATATTAAAGCCCTTGTTCATGATAAGTCAATAATATAGTCCAAATATGTGCAGGGCTTCAATGGACAGTCCTGGGGCTTCCCTAAGGGCAAGATCGAAGAGAATGAAGCGACGGTGGAGTGCGCTGTTCGGGAGGCATGTTCCACCTAAAAATATTATATAAAATTATTTGCTCTAAGAAATAAAATATATAAATTATCACCGTAAACTTAACATGTTATGAATTAAATTGTAAAATAAAATATTAACTTCAACTTAAAATGTTATGAATTAAGTTGTGAATTAAAATATTACCTTCAACTAAACATGTCATGAATGAAATCGCGATAATATATTGACTTTGGTTTTGGTGAGCGTCTCCAAGCATACCTTGAATTCAAGTTCCTAGTGCATGAAACCTAATTTTTTACTCTAATTTTCAAGGTTTTTGACGCTTTGGCTAAATCTTTACAAGTAGGAAGGTACAATTACCGTAGTGATTGATTTAGAAAAATATATTTCTGATATTATTATCATACAGTATATAAATTTGAATCTCTCCACCGATAATTAGCATCAGGCACTGCCTGAAATGAACATGATTTTCCAACTTGTTATAAGTTATTGATGTTCACAGGTACGAAAACAGCACCTCTAATGAACGTTAGAGAAATGAACATATCCTCAAATAAACATTTAAGAAATGAACATGTCCAACTTATCTCTATTTGTGCTCACAGGTTAGGGAGGAAATTAACTACGACATCTCGCCCTTCATCAACCCAGACTTATACCTACAAATGACCATCCTAGAGCAACAGACGCGGCTCTACATTATATACGGCGTCCCAACAGAAACAAAGTTTAAAACAAACACGCGCAAGGAGATCGGTAATATTAAATGGTTTGAACTCTCGTCGCTGCCTGCACACAAAGGCGACAAGAGACCCCTTGCCAACACCTCTTATAGTCCTAATAACTTCTTCGTCATTATTCCTTTTGTCAAGTAAGTCTTTATTGGTTTATTTCTCACTGCTTCACTTAAAATGTAGAGTTATTAATTTAATTTAAGTCAGAAACTTACGAGGCTTGAAATGTTAGATACCTTAATATTTAATACTTTTAAGACATCACTTGTTGCGCGATATTCTCTCATTGCAATCGAGCTGTGAATTATTTGTTTATTATTGTTATTTAAAATGTTTATACTTTATTTAATTGCTAGTATTCTTTTACAGACATCTTCGTGAGAGCGTGAGTTTGATGCAGAGACGATGTCTGGAGACTTTCGGTGTTCCCATGTACAAACAAATTGAATTTCACTTCGAGTTCCTCAAGAAATATTATCCTAAAATCTACGAAATTAGAATGGAGCAGAAGATTCAATCAAAACAGGAGGCCGAGAGGAAGAAACGAGAAAAAATGTGGAAGAAGAGAGCCGAGGCAAGTGTCTGCTTGAGTTATTCCTGGAATATTTGTCTCGAAATTTTGTGCCAATTTACCATCTACTCTGAATTTTTTTCCATTTTTTTTTTCTATCCTTGGGAATTTTTTTTCTTTCTTTCTATCCTTGGGAACTTTTTTTTTTCTTTCTATCCTTGGGAAAATTTTGTATAGACTTTTTATCATTAAATCTGCACTCTCTTCCATGGCTTCCTAGCCATGCTCATACAAGAGACATTTTATTTTAAACGATAGAAGGATTATGCCAAGTTGTTATAATCATGACGGCCTACAGGCACCACAGCTTACAGGCAAGATTGAATTCTTGCGAGGAGGTGGCTAAATCGTCATGTAAATTTTACATTGGAATATATATTTATTTTGTACGTGTTGTATGTAATTTTCTTATGGGAAAGTAAAATTTATGCATTTTCTTATAGGAGAGTAAAATGAATGATTTGTACATTGAAAAATCATATCAATACCAAGCAATTGGATTGGCGCTGATGTGGCGCTGAACTGAATAATCCAGCCTGCACTTAAAAAAATTTATTCATTCATCAACATGTCCAAACAGTGATACACTTTCTACTTGTATCACCCAAATGCCTTTTTGAATAGCTAAACTGTGTCAGTATGGCCCCCGCGGAAAACAAATGCATCAAAATTTGGAGAAAATCTCAGCAATCTGTCTGACCACAGGAATTACATGGCGATGCTGCACTCGATTATTCCGAGAAGACGCTGAAGCAGCAACTGAAGGAACAGCGCAAACTGGCAGCGCAACAGGCACATCTACAGGATGCTTCTGGGCAAAGAATCGGCAAGCAATCCGCCCAACAATCTTCCCAGCAATCATCCCAGGCCCAGCAATCCTCTCAACAATTATCCCAGCAATCATCCCAGAAATCCTCTCAGCAATCATCTCAGCAATCATCCTCCGATATTCTGACGCTCCTGCAGAACGCTACTCTCAGAGTAGAGCAAGAGAAGCAGGTAAATAAACTTGACAATATTTGAAATATCTTGTAAAAAAACTATAATGCTGCGCTCTGAAATGGATATTTTAACAACATCTAAAATGGATTACATTATATATAATATAGCACTCACAAATATATTGCAAATAATATAGCACTTCCAAATATATATAAATAAAGTAAATAGCACTCCCAATACTCGACATTGTCGAACGAGATACGTTTTTTTGTCAACTTCTTCCTCATTGAGTGCAATAAGTAGACTAGTAAAGAAGCATGGATGCATGCATTATTATACGTAGGATATCGAGGGACACGCAACCATTGTAAGTAGATCACGAAATTGGAAATGGACTGGTTGCTGAAAAATTCCTCTTTTTCCACTATAAATACTGTAAAACAATAAAATAAATACTCGTGCTGGTTATTACTAGAAATATCACTACTAAAACTAATAACTAATACTAATTAAATTATTCAATTATACTAACTGATAGGTAACTAATACGGTACTGATTAAATTATTCAATTATACTAAAACTAGGTAATAAAATGCTAATATGTTTAGAATACTCATTAAATATTTTGTGGTAATGCCGTGAAAATTTTATATAACAATTTGATATGCTAGAAAATTTACTTCATTAAAAGCGAGCAAAAATCCATTCTATACCTCATAAGTTATAAAATTTTCAATGTTTATTTATCAATGACAATAAATGTCAATTCAATTAAAAAATCATTCGTCTAAATTGGCAAATGACATTGAAATATGATAATATAGTGGGTGCTTAAATGCGACTTCGTTTACTGGCCGCAGTTTGCCGATTTTTTGTTTATTGCAATCTGATAATTTTTTTTTTCAATTGGCTAAGTAAGAAGACTCTCTTTTCCAGAAGCGCCGTAATTCACTTTCATGTGTTCAAGTGAGAATTAAGTATAAAATTTGAACCAATTCAGTAGTTAAATGAAATCATTTAGTAATTATATATTTTTTAGAAAATTAAGTAATAGTTTTGCCTCAGCCATGAATAATTTGAAAACTGTTGAGGCAAGCAGTTTCTGAACATCTGCTCTGATCCAATAACTTGAATTAATGAAATAACCTTTACAGGGACCTGCTACCAAGGACGTCGCTAGACGTGAGTTTTCTGTGTAGATCTAAGAATATTGGTATAGGTAATATGTGTGATGTTTTATGTATGATGTACTATGTATGAAGAGAATACTTCCTCTTCGAAAGTAAGCCTGCAGTTGAAATGTTATCGTTAAAAGGCAGCTCCGATATGAAGTCAGTTTCCTGGTAATGCAATATATATTTATATATTATACCAATATATATTTGTCAGTTTTCCTCCAAAATATATAAAAAGTTTTTTTTTAAAGCTTCTTTCACTTTAAAAAAAACTTTTTTCCAAGCTTTTTATATATTATCCATCTATAAGAGAAAACCATGCGTGGCAACTCATTGGAAAGTTCTAGTCCACTTTAGATCGTATCCACAGTGCTGTGACAATCAGACAATAATTTTTCAATCAATTTCAGACACCGAACACAAGAAGTTCCGCTTCAAATCTCTCCTGAAACGACAGAGTTCCCCAAGTGACATCAACACTTCTGATGCATCGCACCGAGTCGCAGAAAATACACTTCAATCTACGGAAACTTCACATCAAGCTACGAAAAATGCTCCTACTTTACCGGGTGCTTCTAATCCGACGCTTAATAAAACCGCATTTGGGGCGGTGTCCATAGAACGAAGTAAAACTTGGGACGATGCTAGACTTGACTTCCAAGATATCATGAATGCCGTGGAGGCCACTTGGAGAGCTAATATTTCCACAGCAACAGCACCAATTCAAAAGAAATCGAAAGGCAAAGAGAATAAGTTTCATTGAGATGTCCATTTTAATACCGAGTCAACGTGAGGTCCTTGACATGTTCAGTTCTGAATTGTGATGAATAAGAACCGATGATTGAATACTGTTAAGTTAGCAGCATAATTTAGGATGATTACTAGGACAGTTTTTCTATAGTATTGATGGATTTATTTGATGACGGCTTTGCTGGATGATTATGTTAAGAATTAATGATCAAGTCCCTGTCATAATTAACAATGATTCGTGGGAATTAGATTTGTTTTTACTCTAATTTACAATGACAAAAAATGTAAACCCACCATTTGATGGATCAGAATTGAAGATATACTTAGAAACTGCCATTAGATATATAACTAATGACGTCATAATGCATTCACTTTCTGGGTTATTAATAGCGGCGGAGTTTTGGCGCACGCCTGCAATGTGAACTAAATGTTGTCAATTACACTTTCATGAATGTTTATGTCAGGAAATTTGGAACATTTAGTAGCGGCCGAGTTCTACACATATTTCAGTTTAAATCGATTATACATTATGCACGTTTATTACGTCTCATTCGTTCATTCATTATGCATTGAGCACGTTTATTACTTCTCTTTCATTATACATTATGCATGTTTATTACGTCTCCGTCATGTTGGCATTATTTTATGTTCAGTTTATTTCTTTGCTTATTCGCATGCACGTTACGCACACCATGTACACAGAAAAATTAATGCGACTTTGTCCAAACACCGATGCACATTCACCCTTTTTCGGGTCGTCTTGACCCAGTTTATTACAGAATCATAGGACGTATCAGTGGTACGCTCAGCAAGTGTGTCACTATTTGACAAAAGGACCCATGCATTGTTTTGAGTGCATTTATACAGACACAGCCTCGGAACATGACTATATATACAACTTTTTGCTACAGCTGTCCAATGTTTAGTTTTGTGTCCCCATATTTCCATTGAGACCACATAAAAGTCTAATCAATAGTTAGAAATATATTGGAATTTTGTACGAGGTAGTGAAATCATCTCGATACAGAATCCAACGTTCGACATTTTTGAATAGATGGAACTTTTTGAGCCCATTTTCGTGGTGTCATTGTATTATCATATTTCTTTTTGACAGTTTGTATCAAGTTTGATTTAAATACCAAGTTTAGCCTTTGCGCTGTCTTCCTATGTAACTTTAGTCTATCCACTTCTTGGCCAATTGCTCAGTTCACTGTTTCAAAATGGTAGTTTATTTCGTCTGTGGGAAACCTCATGTGGCCTTCACGTTACTTATTCTTAAAATTACGGATGTATCCTTGTATTTCATGCTATATTGCGGACTTTAAATAATTTCTGTTCCTAAATAATGTTAAGTGATGTCGAGACACCAATACCGTATGGTATATTTATTCTATTCTATGACAACGTTGTATAGTTTTAACTTAGCTACAGTATGGTTTTATTAATAATGTATGGTTTTTCCTGTACCTAGATACTCAGTTTATTTTCACAGAAATGACAGCAAATTTGATCCACACGAGCTTGGACTAATATTTGCAAGTGTAAAATTTAAGGGAAGAATTATTCATTTCCTTGTTATTTAAGGACATTTTTATCCGGGCTGGAACATCGAAGGTGTCTATGCTTCAGAAGCTTTTTCTGTGCAGAACAGTCAAGTTTTTTATACCTCGGGAACTTTTACTCTGCAGATGATAAAAGTTTTAAAACCTAATGAACATTCGTTTATTTTTTTTTTAAGTTTGGGCACTTGTTCTGCATTGATCTTGTTCTGCATTGATCTTGTTCTGCATTGATCTTGTTCTGCATTGATCTTGTTTCATTACTTAAGTTTCATGTTTGTTGTCGAGCTGTGCACATCAATTATTAATGAGGTAGCAAATCGTGATTATCTGTGATTATAAGCAAATTACCTCATTAATGTAAATGAATAAATAGGTAAATTACATTAATTTCTTGTCGTGATATATTCTGTCAGGATTCAACAGTGACTAAAATTTTTACACTCACGTGACGGTGTCTTTTTGTAAGTCGAACGTTTTTTAGGTTTCGCGTGGGTGTTAATTATTATTTAATTAATTCTCTTGCCTTCATGTTTTTAACCTCAGGTTTTCTACTACTGACTTTTTATTTGTGAAATCAAAAATACAAGTTTTTCTTGGCATGAAATGGAAAGTTCTTTCAGATTCTGTATCTTTTAATTGTAAATGTATTTAGTTGAAGTTTATTTTAGCATGGGACGAAATTTTGTTAAATATGAAACGATCATATTTTGCTCAATGTTATAGTTAATGTGAAATTAACTATAAGAAACTATAGTTTTTTTTAATCATAAAACTTATTTCCTTTTACAATAAAGAACGGAAGCTTTTTATATGGACTTCTCATTCATAAATAACTTACATTTATTGGGATGAGAGTGTTCGTTGAACACGTCGTCGCGGGTATTCATTAAAGCCTCTATTTAATAATTGAACCTAAAGAACATGCGTATTAATAATTGAACTGTTTAATTAAACATAATTTTAACCTCCACCTGGGACTACAAAACTCGCGTTTTCACGCTTTACCTCGTATATGACTTGAGAATCAATATCTAGTAATGTTGAATAGATATTCTATTGTCTATTGAAGAAAATTCATAATTAGTTCTTCGACTCTTATTTTATTTCTCGTTTAAATGTTTTATTTGAATCGTTTTTGATTAATTAAATAATTCATAGACTCGTATGATTATTGAACGTTCGTTTTTCTTAGGAATTTAACGCGGCCATAATCATATTTATGTTATCACTTATTTTCCTCATTGCTGTTCAAATTATGTCTCATGAAGCTTACGAGTCAATTGAAATTATCTGAAAAACAATTTAGCCTCTTTAAGGCACTATGTATATCGAAGTTTAAGGTGAAGGATGGTCAAATATTTTTTATACTTGCAGCAACCTCAAACGAATGAGCCTTCGCTCGAATAGCATCTCGTGGTCTAGTTTAAGAATACCTGCCATAATGAAGAATTTTCAACGTCTTCATTCATGACCAGCTAACTGCGTCATTTTCTAAGTCGGCGTCATTATCAACATTTGAATCATTTTCAACGTCAATTAATTGATCAATTTTCAACTGCGTCATTTTCAGCTGCGTCATTTTCAGCTACGTCATTTTCGACTGCGTCATTTTCAACTGCGGTATTTTCAACTGCGTCATTTTCAACTGCGTCATTTTCAACTGCGTCATTTTCAACTGCGGTATTTTCAACTGCGTCATTTTCAACTGCATCATTTTCAACTGCGTTATTTTCAATTGCGTCATTTTCAACTGCGTCATTTTCAACTGCGTCATTTTCAACTGCGTTATTTTAAACTGCGTAAATATGACCTGTCACTGACTTGTCTCAGAATCTTCGCTAGATGATGAAAATAAAACTGAATAACTGTTCTCACCATTAAATGGTTTTCAACTAACTGATGAAATTTTTCAATGAGTAATTTCACATTTTCTTGATATCCTTGGCTCAAGCAAGAGGAATATGCCGTTGAAAAGTTTAATTTCCACTTCTCACTGAAATAGAACGAAGCAAAAGCGATTAAGAGTTTTCTGTGTAAATATATTCACTGCCCGAACAAATACCATGAAAGCTATTATCATTATATTTACATGTTTTTTATGGCATTCTCGTCGACTTATATGAAACATATATCGCCCGTTCTATGGTTCTCTCATGTTAATTATCATAATAACTGTATAAGTCGTTAATGGTTCGATCATCTTTATCATCATAATAATCTATGTCAGGTTCTATCAATCTGCACACGCTGAAACAGTTTTTTTCACCCTTAATTTAAGAAATTGCTTTTGCATAAATGAAAAAATTCAACGTGTGGGTTGCCCGATCTCGTGCGGCCAGGTGATTATTATCTTCAAAATAAATCATTATAATGACTGCAGGGCTTTAATTTCCAAATATCAATAAAGTTCGTTGCATAAGCACTATAAGTACAGACACAAAAAGTACAGTTCCTAATCTAATAGGAAGTTTGTAGGTACGATCAATGGGAGAATACACGAGTATTTTGGAAAATAATTATAGAAGGTAGAAATCCAGCTTGCTTCACTTGAGAATTCAGATTCTGTACGACCTCGCACGCGTGATCAGGCAGATTACAGTGAGATTGACTCTGAATTTGTTAGCACGCCGAGGTGATTATCCTGATATGAAATTCTGTCGATACGTCTCACATGATATCGGTGCTGAAGCATTTTTCCAAGTATCTCTTTACATTTAGTGAAATAAAATCACAAGGAACAGTTAGACTTGTGCTGGGAAGTAACGATGAATTCCAGTTGATTGGTGATTTCTATTGGGGTTGTCATACAGGCAGTCGGTCATTTGAATTTCTTCGGGGGTCTTCACAGATCACCAATAGCGACTGGTAAATAGAGAAAAATAGGTGGAGTAAAATTTGACCAGGTTCCATTTCTAATTATACGAAAGAATGAAGCCAGAATGAACGTCGATTTTGTTTCAGTTGCCCTTAAAAACTGTTAAAAGCGAGACCATTTATAACCATCGTCTACGAACGCGTATTCTTCTTCTGATTCACAAGTAATGCATCAGATTAAGTCTTTAGTTCAATGAATGTTCTTTATTTTTAACATGAAACCTTTGCACTTTTGGTGTGTATAATAATAATAATAATAAAATTAATTCATTAGGATTAATCTTTTTTAATGTACGCTATTAATTGATTGTAAATTTTTCAGGCTTGTGAAATTGTGTGAAAACCTCATCTAATTATCTATGACTTCATTTACTATTTGCTGCATCCGAAATAATTCAGGAGACAGGAAGAAATAGTCACCCTTTCTTCTATATATATTTGTACTAAAATTTAAGTTAGTTTCTTTTCAAAATCGTAAGCGAATAGTTTTTCCACAGTATTGAAGCTAGTACTTCATGACAACTATGGAAAGAAAGGTCCAATTTGAATAGTGAGTTATTTTTTGTTAATTATCATTTTATTATTTTTGCTCAAAATCGATATTTATTAGTAGAATTAACGCCAAAACTTTGAATAAGGTGGCAAAAATTCAGTATTACATAATATTATTTGATAATATTTGTGCCTTCACCACATCCATTCGTGAACTTCTTCAATCAAAGAACTTGAACAAATTATTGATATAAATAGAAGAATAATTTCCTTCATAAATAAATATTTCATTTATAATACAACGTGACCCTAACAGAAGAACAACACACTGCATATCTGCCCCATGCTTCAGAAATTTAAATCTCTCAATAACGACCTCGTTAATAAGCTTATAGCCTCACGTTCAACAGGCGTTGATAAATTAGTAGTGCATTACTGTTGACAATTTGTGACGGATGTTCATGTGATAATTATGGAAGTCGAAACTTTCTATTTATATGATAACTTCTACACTTCTTCATCGATCATCGTGCAGAAGAATAGAACTGTGCGTTTCTGTCCCTTGTTTCGTGCCCCAAGCTTCGTGTCTCCATTTTAGTGCGCCCACTTTCGTGCCCCCAGTCTAGTGCTTCCACTTTCGTGCGCCCACTTTCGTGCTCCCAGTTTCGTGCGCCCAGTTTCGTGCCCCCAGTTTCGTGCCCGTGCTTTCGTGTCCCCAGTTTCGTGCCCGTGCTTTCGTGTCCCCAGATTAGTGCTCCCAGTTTCGTGTCCCCAGTTTAGTACGCCCAGTTTCGTGCAAGGGTCAATTTGGCAAGGCTAAATCTCAGAGGCAACTCGTGTATTTAGCTCTTGGGGAATAGTGGATGGTTTATCTCTGTTCATGTAATTTTTAATTCTCACATTGACTATATTTTAATTTATTTAGGCCTTTCATATTTCAAGGCCTGAAAAAATATTAGGGGTCGAAGTTTTTTTTTTTTATTTTCCACTGTTTAAACCTTTATGAAGTTTATTAAGCGTTGGTTCTTCTACAATAAAAGTAATTTCAACTTTTGCAAAGAGTATGGAAATTGATGCATGAAAATTGAACAATGGAATTGAGCTTTCACATTTTTGCCCATTAACGTACAGTCGCGTTTTGAAATGGATCTTGAGCAAATATTTTACAAGAATCTGGCTCCAAGAGGAATGAGTTGAAATAAAGCAATAGATTCTTCAAAATAGCCTTAATGCAATATTGCAAATGATCTTCCATATTGCCATTCGTTTTTTTCGAATTGCAATTCGTTTCTTTTTCTGAATGTGCAATGACGAAGGAAGGGAGATAGAAAATTTTGCTGTTGAGTCACTCCAAAGCCACCTAGCTATGTCTAAGCATCAACGTGATCGTTTACGGCTCGTAATCGTCCATTAATCCGATCCTTATTCGTGTTTCGCGTTTCATTCATCTGCACTGCTGCTAACTTTTAATGAACCAAGTTTTTAGTCCAAGCTCTGATTTTTTTTAAGATAAGAACTACTAATCAACCGAACGCCAGTGATATTGCCCGATAACTAACAATGATTATATATAAACTAAGAATTAATATTAAAACAATGTACAAATTATGTGTATTCTAAATGGTATATTCAGTCTACACATGATTAGTCACACATTAACAGCCTACACTAGTAACATACAACACTCACCTCCAACACAATGACTAGTAAATAGTATGGACGTGAACTATATAAGGTTATCTCTACTTCAAATTCCAGAAATAAAATTTCTCTTATTAAAACCCTAACGATTTGAATAGTAACAAAAATAATGATAATAAAAACAATTTGAAAATAACAAAATATTAAAAATAAATAGAATGATAATTTTTTCCACACAGGCAGAGGTAAAGAGCCATGCAGTATTGCTGGCAGCTGTTTTTGCTGCAGCTGTTGCTGCTGGCAGCAGACGTTGAACTGCAGCGCCGCGACGTACGACGCTGCGACGTCGCTGTGCAACATGACGAACCTCGCGCCGGAAAACGTCACGACTAGGGCAGCGCCCGGCGCCATCACGCTCTACAAGTTTGGTAAAATTTGTTTCTTTTATTTATTATTTTTAAATTGAGCAGTGAAACTAGATCAGAAAGATTAATTTTCTGGGTCGTGTAAAAAATTCACTCTGATACATGAATCAGATGGAAAATTTTGAAGATTTGCGTACGCATTGAAGTAATTTAAAGTATTTAAATTTATTTTATTAATTTTTAGTCCATTTCTTCCAGGGAAAAAGAATTGACTGGAATTAAAAAGTGTATTTCCATAGGTTTTGCCTGATTCAAAGATTCTCTTGACGAATTTAGAATTAACTAAAACCAATTAGGTAAAGAATTAAGAAGTATTTTTGCACTATTTATGCTATGCATTTCAAATTGTTTTAATACCTAACTCTTTATTTTCTGGAGAGTTCACCCTGAATACAGTTGATACGCAAAACTCTGATCCTTGTACAACCGACGTCGCTGCTTCTCGCATCTTCGTGACCAACGCAGAAACCAAGAATGCCAAAGACCAAAATGCTACTTGTGCTGCAGAGAACGGCCGGCCTCTTGTCATCAAAACTGTTGAGCAGCTTCAGGCAGCTCAAGTGGCAGTTAAGTGTTCGTAAATGCATTCACCTTCGGTCGAAATTACAAAAGTGCACGATACGTTGGGCATACCATATTATTCCTGAAAATATGGGATGATGCAGAAATGAAGTCATAATCAAAATATCAACGATCAGAAAATTACATCTTACTCTTCATTTTCAATCTCTTAATGAAACGTCATTGCCATATTTTGGGGAAGGCTGATATTTCAGCGCGCTGCTAGATCGAGTCAGGCATACATAAATGAGTATTAAAGGATATTTCCTCCAACAGATAATGGCGTGTCGTTATTTACTCAAGGTAGCTGTGCTTGGCTGACAGCGACGCTCACGTCGGATAAAGTTCTCCAGTGGCCCGACAAGACAAATGTCACCCAGTGCCTCAAGACCCCAGACATCGTCATGAACCCGACCAATCAGCTGTACAGCTTGCTGAGTGAAAATGGAAAGTTTGTTGGCATCTGGTCTCCGGCTTTCAAAGAATTTCCTGTGTTGTGTTACAAGTGAAGAAAAACATATTCAACTGCCTTGAGTCGACAACTGAGACCATCAGAACAATTGTCGCGTACCAGCAATCAAAATATACGCAGCAACCACCATCAGTGAGCGCCGTATTCCTCATTGTCGCAGTGTGTCGCGTGAAGAGTTACTGGCGAAAAGCTGAAGCCCGCAAGAATAATTCTGTCCGTTGCCGATGAATGTTGACCAACGTTGATCTTTAGTTGCTACATATTTGGCTCTTAATCACTGCACTTTCTGTTCCAGGCGTTGAAACAATGAAGTTCAATGTTAAATTCAATTTTTCGGAGTGAAAATTCCTTGTAAACAAATGCTCGTATTTCAAATAACAAGTAAACTATACGACCGAAACTAAAAATACGGCGATACTAAGCTGCAGCGCCTCCTATTTCCAAGATTTCGTTTAATTTTACCGAAATATGCTAACTTTCACTATTCAAAAACGGCGAAGTATTTGATGTTAATTCAACTTATGGCAGCGTTTTTCAACGCTGCAACACTCGCTCAGTTTTCACAAACGTGTAGCACGATTGCATATAATTTAATAAATATCAAATGGAGTTGCAAAAAATTCCTTTGAATAGTGATATCGCATTAAAATTTTCAGGAAAGTTCCCAGTTCTCTTTCTAAAATTACAGCCATTATTCTGAACGATTTTTCTAAAATAAACAACCTACGCACATTCCAATCTCCTAATTAGCAGCACATCTATTCAAAAAATAGTCAAATGATAAAAATATAAGCGATGGATTTAGTACTCATCATTTGCTGGCAAAAAATTCTTATCATTCTTATTTTTTATGTACTATTCGCGCAAGAGCTAAACTTGTCTCCCTAGCTGCTACCCTATCAAAATTTTTAGTTGGTGGCGTCCCTGAATTAGGAACCGCCTTGGACTCGGACCGAACGTAAATCAGCTTCTCTATGTCCGCTTTTTGGTCTACATTCCGGTCCCCGAATCAGACAGCTACCAGAGCCTGGTGAGGGGACTGAGGGGATTCTGCCAACTCTGGCCCTACTCTCAGGAGACTATATATATATAAAGTCGGCCAGGAGGTTCTGACTAGTCGCTGATTGCGATCAGTTGGCCAACTGACCCAGAATAACTCATATGCGAACTCTGTGGCAGAGGCTGAAGCATACCCCGAATTTTGTTAGGGTATCTATAGTGAGAAAATTGTCCGCTCTTCTTCTCACATTGCACAGTTTGAATACACAATTGCACGTTGTCTTCCAGTTATTACCCTTTGTGTTATTTTAAAGGCGAATAAATTTGCACGTGAAAAATTCCCACAATTAGGTATCGGGAGACTCTTTATGCATTCACACAATCTGGCGTAGCTGATCCGTTTTCTTATTCTCACTATTATTTTTAGAAAATAAAACTCATTCTTCTCACTATCAGGTTAAGAGAATACATTCAAATGGTATTGAATCATGTGTCAATGCACTATAGTGAATAATTCACTCTTCATGCTGAGAAATGACCTCCGCTCAGTGCATTGCTGTGCCAAGTCTGCAGCTGGTCGTATATGTCGATAATTATTTCCTGGTATGTTATACTTTATTCTACATATGTGATATACTAAAACACCAACATTTGACATTCGAATCAACTTTTGTACCACGTGGTTTACTAAAACAACAAAATTTTATTGCACTTTATCTTGTATTTTATTATAATTGCAGTTCATAGGCTTGGAGTAACAGATTAAAAAAATATCGCAAATAATGTCAGACATAAAGTTGGACAGGTTTAACTCCATCAACAATTAACAAAAATATGGCACAGAAAGCAGCAAACGACCATTTATCTGTGCTAGTCGCTAATTATTATTATTATTTATTTATGTCACTAAAAGCGGTATAAACTGGCTGAGCTCCCAACCGAACACGCCGTCGAGGATATTGTCCCACTAAATAATGCATCTTAACTGCGCATAGTAAATGAATTACAGCCTTCAAATGAATGCGAGCTGCACTGATACTTGAAGGCTATGAAGTTTATTCGTCGATCAGCGCTGCATTTAGAATAATCTAATATCTGCTTAATGACGCTTGATGAGATCGCTATCATTATTGTAGGACCAGCAGGCTCGTTATCATTAATATGATGTATCGCGCGCGTCCATCATCTTGTCTGGGCCGTAGCAGTGCTTCGAACTAGTAATTAATTCTGTTACTATTAGTAACTTGTTAGTCTTTAAACTAGTTGCCTTTAGTTACTAGTTAATCTATAATATAGTTACCATTAGTTACTCGTTACTCTGTAAACTAGTTACTGTTAGGAGTTATGGGAGGAGGAGGGATCCACATCAAAAGAATTAATTGAGAATTGAGGAAGCCATCAGAAATTCGTTTTGCAAATTCAATCAACCCAACAGAATAAAGTCTATACATTTCCCATTAAAAAAATAATTGATGGTGGGTTTAGTTCATGACGCGCGTTGATCAGTTTATCAAAATAAGCTTACTTTTTCTTAGAGGTGTGGGGGCTAAAGAAATGAGTTTACCTGCAAATTTGCCAGCGTGGCTTTCGTATGTTGGTTAATTATAAATTGTCCAATAGTAAATAGCAGTCATTTCGTCTGTTGCCCTTGAATATTCTAAAACATATTTTTTTTATTCTATGCTTCTTTCTAATTTTTTGATTAAAATATAATACAAAAACTTCCAGACATTAAGCGCAGTTACTGAAATCTAAATGATATATGAATACACATGGATGCAGTACCCGGAAATTATGAGGCATAATTATGAGATTTATTTTTCAGGTCATGACAGGGAACGACTCGGAGTTTTTCGTCAGGGACTGACTATAAAGTGCGAAAGACCATTAATTATTCTATCGCTGTAAATTATAATGACGTCAAAGGCTACCAGCGTCGATCTGAGCTTTCGGCGACGTCTAGTTTTCGTTTAGTAGCCTGAGTGAATGCACGGCGATGACTACTCGATCTTCTTACAAATAAATTATAGTGAAATTTCACTTCCACACGACCAAACCGATAGGATATCAAGTTTTAATTTTTATATTTTATTGAGCTATCAAGCGCTCAGATAAATCGGTTAAAGTTTTTCCTGCTCAGAAGTAATTCAACTTAGATCACGAGCCAATCAACGAATTGCTTCTTCAAACTAAGTTTGCTGACTGAAAATTGAATCCAACTGATTCTGTGTAAAACCTGCCAATTCAAACGAATATTAAAATTATGAATTGATTCTCATTTGAAGCAAAATTGATAATTTTGCACAAAAAACTGATTTTCTGTCTGAAGGCTGGCTTCAAAACTGAGGGCGAAGAGGTGAGAGTCTGCGTCAGTCCTGCTAGTGTAAACGATATATTTTGAGATAGTGCATATTTGCAAAGAATATGATTGAGAAACTCGAACACGTTTCAAACATATGAAAATTTAACACTTGATATTTCTTTACACGTCACATTACATTAATGCCAAATATTTTATATAGTGAAACTGACATATCAATACGCGGGCAATCCGTATTCGAAAAGAAAAATTAAAATAAAGCAGGGATAGAGTCAATAAAGTGGCTTGTATAAACAATTGCATAACAAACACATGAATTAAAAAAAGCGGATACGTTTTCAATAATGCATGTAGAAGGAAGCTGGTGCAAGTTCATTCTAGCTACATAACTGAGAATTACTATAAAACTACCAATGATGATAATTATTCTCCCACAGGTCGAAGTAAATTGCTATGCAGTATTGCTGGCAGCTGTTTTTGCTGCAGCTGTTGCTGCTGGCAGCAGACGTAACAGCCGCGGGCTTCCAGGCGGTCGTTAAAAACGTGGCTTATTCCTGCTGGAGTAAACGAAATATTTAATGATATAATAGTGTATATTTGCTCAGTATTTGTTTATTTTGTTGAACTCGGTCGATAAACTTTTAATTCAAACTCACATTAAAATCAACACATTATAATTTTTTAAATAACTGCATCTATTAATGCAAAATATCGTTATGAATTAAAATTCGCTAATTCATGCCCAAAAAAACATATAAAATAGAAATTAAAATACCTTAAATTAGAAAATTATAATTAAATGATGAATAAAGAGAAATTAAAATCGGCAGTGTCGTTTAAGTGGTTCATATGAATAAATGTAAATATAACAGAGGAACTGAGAAAAAATGCGAATATATTTTCATTAATGTTTGTACAAGAGGAAAATGGCTAAAAGTTTGTTCATGTTACGTAATGCAAAACTATAAATAATGATAATGATTGTGAATTCTCTCCCCACAGGCAGAAGAAAAGAGCCATGCAGTATTGCTGGCAGCTGTTTTTGCTGCAGCTGTTGCTGCTGGCAGCAGACGTAACAGCTGCGGGCTTCCAGGCGGCCGTTGACAACGTGGCTCTGAACAGCTCCAGCTTCTCGGCAGCTTATACCATCTGTGAGAATATAATTGAAATTACCCTATTACGTTAAATGAAACAACACTTTTTTCAGATCTAAATCATAGGTTATCCCTAATATTTTCTCATCATATTTCTACATTTTTATCATAATTACAATAAAGATTATCATTAATCACATCCGATAATAATTATCAGTTTTGGAAGTGAGACCAAAGACGATTGTAGGAGAAGTTTGATTTAATGACAATTGTATAGATTTATGTACATTTTAAAATCCCAGTTGTGGCAAAAAAATGTTGTCTAAACAAACCACCAGAGGAAATAATAAAATTTGGTTAAAAAAGTGGGTAATGAAATATAATAAATGTTTACACATGTTCGTGGCCATGATATCAGCATTATGCTGTCACTCCTCTTCTCCAAAATATGAAGTAATGTCTAGTAAAGCATCATCTGTGTAGAAATGCATGTTTAGTGAGAAATTGGTGGTGATTGTATTTATACCTACACTTATATGGAATTTTTTTGCTTGAACTCTGATAAAATTGTAGTCTAAAACCATGGGAAGAATGAAACAGCTATCTGAGGTGACTATTGTTGGCCTTTATTCATATAATTTGCGAATGGATATAAATCTTGCCAGTGATGGGTAGAGCTGGTAAGTTTTCCATTTTATTCACACTTAATGGTCGCATACAAAGTTCCTAACAACTTTTGATGATTGTTTATACGGAATGGTGCCAAAATTTCGGATTGCCTTAACACCGCAGCAGCACTCACCAGTCGTACACTTCTTGTCACCTAAGCTACGCAGGCTTTCATGTTCTGCATGGTCTTGACATCTGACGAAAATAACATTTTCTGGTGGAGCAATCACTAATTATTTAAAACCCACCATCAACAACATAGCCTTTGAGTCTTTTCCTATGTAAGGACTAATTTTGGTGGTTAAGAGAGGACAAACGAATTTTTGCTTTCATTTTATTTATATTCCCTACAACGCCTAATAGGAGTTGAAATTTGTTGACACTTGTGATGTTCATCCCCATTTACAGTTGTCTAGGGGATTCAGGTTCAAGCCTACAATGAATTTACTGTTAAAATTGTTAGTTATTGCGAGTTCAAGGTGAAGGACTTCGCTTGTACAATTTATTTTTATTTCGGACGCCACCTCCCAGGCGAGTGCAAAGTGAAGTGCTTCATTTGTTCAATTTATTTTAATTTCCTACACCGCCTCCCAGGCGAGTGCAAAGTGAAGTGCTTCGTTTGTTCAATTTATTTCTATTTCCTACACCGCCTCCCAGGCAATTGCAAAGTGAAGTGCTTCGTGCAGCCAAACTGCAGCGCCGCGACGTACGACGCTGCGACGTCGCTGTGCAACATGACGAACCTCGCGCCGGAAAACGTCACGACGAGGGCAGCGCCCGGCGCCATCACGCTCTTCAAATTCGGTAAAAATTTGTTTCTTTTAATTATAATT